TGACTCATGTGAAGTTTTTGAACTTTCAGGTGCTTCAATTTGCTGTTCTAACACAACATCTGTCATCTCAAAGTTAAAATCTTCATTGGGATAAAAATCTGAGCTATATGCCATAATAGAGGTTTTACATTTCAGGAAAAAAATAGTTGGGCAAGTTCCATAAGAGATAAAGGAGTGAAAATAAAAATGGTATGGGAGTAAATGGAATATAATAAAAATAGGGATAAAATGTGCCAAAATGAGAAAAATTAATTTCAAAAAAAAGATAAATCATTAAATTAAATATTAGGATTAAAGACCAACATAATTTTTATTTAAAAATTAAAATTTAAATTTCGAAAAAATTTTTTTTCGATCCCAATTTATATTATTACAATCCGGATTATAATCCGGATGATCAACAATGTGTAATCCGATAATTTTACGGATCCATCCGCCGGATGAGGATATCCGATTTTAATTCGAATGATCAGATCAACCGGATTACGTATCGAACCCCTATAATATCATCTTCAAATGTTCATTTTCAATGTCAGATTCCGCTCATTAAATGATACCGAAAAATTTCAGCTACCCTGTAAAAAAAGTCAATCCATTTTTTATATTATCATCTTTTTTCCGTAAAAGGCTCGTATTTCCGGAATTAATAGCCTTATATCACGGAATTTTATCAAATTATTTACATTTTTCCGTGAATGGATCCGTGAAAGGCTCATTTTTACGGAGTTTCTACAGAAATAACGGATAAAATTTTTTATAGGGCTAAACAGCAGACTCAAATAAATTTTTTGAAATTGTAATACTTTTTTTACCTTATGAAAAATCTTTATTCGAATATTATTTCTTTACGGGTAAAAGAGGAAAGTATCCTCTACATTTAAAGTGAACAGCAACTAGTTTAAAATGCAATTTGAAGATTCTTTTCGTGATCTAAATTTGATTTGTAAATTTATTAAAAGAAGATAAACGCAATAGAGAAACTGCTACTCATAAAAGTTTATGAAGTACGAAAAGACATTACGAATTAAAAATGAAGAAATCGAGAAATTAACACGAGAACTGAAAAAGTGAAAAAAATATTACGTGAATCATAATATTGCATTATCCAAAGAACTCACTTCAGTAGAGAAAAAATTTGAAGATTTAAACATCACATCAGCTAAGAGAATATCAGATTTAGTTTCTATTATAGATGCTAAATGAAAAATTATTAAGATTGATACTAAACCACGAACTTGTGGTGCATTTTCCAGATTCAACTATTAAATTAAAATCATATTGATAATTGATATAGCAGTATAAATGAAAAAAAATCTGGGAATTTATTTTTCAAAAGTTTACTTCTATGGCCTTGGAAGTGAGAAATTAGGCGAGGCTTGATCGAATGGAGACTATGGAATCCATTTTTATATCGTGAGTTTTACGGGATACTGATGGGCCCATTGTTCTTTCTATAGGGTATGCATGGTTTTTTCTCTTAAGATGCTGCTTAAGTAAGATTATACGGATAAGGAAATTCCTTTACAATACCGACTCACTTCTATCAGTTTGTTAACAGGCTTTGAAGAATTTGTTTCTTCTTCTCATGACTAAATCCATTATCTTTTTCCATTTGCTTCTTAGTTTTCTCTGCGATGAAAACTTCACGTTGTGATTTATAAACTGAAAATGGAATCGTAACCTCTTTTCATTTTTCTTTGCTTTGAATTCGCCTTCTGCTATAGGTTCCCAACCTACATTATATAACCCAAGCAAGGACAGAGAAATCGAAAAAATTTTTTGATTTTCTTTTTTTCTCCCTTTCTCTCCCCCTTCAAAAATACAATTTTCGATGACTTTTCCTTAATTCGTGATTGTGTAACAATAGGTGAAAAACTAGGGCAAATAAAAATAATCGGCTTTGCGATTATCTCGTGATCCCGTAATTCAATTCGATTAACTTTTTTTGTTGTATACCTTATAAAAAAAACACAATTATTTAGTAGCTTTTAGCGTTAACCGTTATTCGCTATTTGACCCTGTGTTATTTTCTTCGTCATCATCACACGAAATTTATTTAATTTTGCATCAAATTATACCACAAAGTCTCTATGACTTAAGTTTTTCAATATGAAAACTACTCGTTTTATATATTTGAATTTTTTATTTTGTTACAACAAACGCTTTATCAACATATTTGGCCTCAACACAATTCACATTTACGTGCCTGGGAGTGTGCACGTGATATTACCTCGAAGATGAAACGACGTAAGAACATCAAGAAACGTCATTTTCCTCGTCGCACCGCCGGTCACCTGACCAAATTCCGTTCCTCCTTACTTACGACCAACTCTTCACCTAGACCCTCACCCATGGCGAACACTTCAACTTCTGCCAGGACTTCAAGCACTTCTCAACATGAACATCCTTTCCGTGCAGGTTCTTCGGCTTCGCCTCGCTATTCACGGTCTTTTGTTCCTTTATGGTTGATTTTGGTCACTTCTAATTACTTATATTCGAGTGATTGGGCTTACGTTACCCTACTTATGTAGATTTTTTAGATGAGAATAATTCTTTTATTTCTTCACTTCATTTTATTCCCTTACTTCATCATTCGACAATGCAGGTTATTCCTTTTTGAATAACAGGCAGGACGATCTCTCACGTGGAGGTTAGTGTATTTGTTTTAATCGAGTTCACTTGGCTTTGTAGTTAATTTTCGTTGGCTCATGTATTCATGTATTAGTTTAACCCCCGTCTTTGTCTAAACTCTTAAAATAAAATAAAATAAAAAACCTTATAAAAAAAGTAGATACGCCGGTTTTTTATATGTTTTTTCAGTGTTCCAGTATACAAAACGTGACTTGCAAGATACGGAATTGTGCATTTTTCGTATCTCAAAACGTATCTAGAGCATACAAAACGTATTTTTCAGTATAAAAAACGTATCTACTTTTTTTATAGGGATAGCTCTCCCTCTACAAAATAAAAAAAAAAGATCGCCGAAATTGGACCAATAGATCGTGAGATAATCATAAAACCGATTTTTTTCAGAACATATCGGATTCGAAATATGGAATCCAGTCATCTTCCGAAAAAAATTCGGTTTTTGCGATTATCTCGTGGTCAGTGATTCAATTTCGATTAACTTTTTGTTGTTGTGTAACTCTCTACACCTCTGCAATATAAAAAGATCGTCGAAATTGGATCAATAATAGATTGTGAGATAATCGTAAAACCGATTTTTTTTAATTTGCCCCTAGCGATTATAGTGATTTTCAATTAACTTTTTTTTAATGATTACTAGTTGCAACCTGAGGATTGGTTGTAATGCTGGCTGGAATTATATGATCAACATATAAATTTTGCTTTTTTGAATTTGTTAACGTCACGGTCGTCACGTCGTCACGACGTCACAATAAACTGGCCAATGGAAGTAAGGTTGCACAATTTAGAATTTATTTATACAGGTAATCTAAAACGTTACAAATTTTAATTACGAGATAAGTCAAACTGTTCAAGTTATTAACAATCTTCTACTATTCAGTTATTCTCCCACAAATTAAAAAACACCGACAGGTATTATCAGAAATAAAGATATAGTGTTGTAAATGTGAAGTGATATTCGATTAATATTTGTTTTACCTGTAATAATTTTTCATTTCTTTATGCAAAAATTTGACTAGTGCGCATTGGTAGAATTCAAGTTAGAACTCGAGATAACTCGAGTCAAAGCCTTAGTGCGGGTCAAATTAATTGTAATTTTGCTCAACTCCGCACTATGGATAACGTTCTACCGATCATGTGCACTCGAGTCAGAATTTTTGAGTGTAAAGAGTCATTTTGACAACGGTTTTCAAATTTTCCATATGATATTGCATTATGATAAATGCCAATTTTTGAGAAATTTGACAATGAGGTTGTTTTAGGATTAAAATTGACAAGAATCAAGAATTAACAACCCTGTTATTAATTCTAGCATACGATATATATATATTAAATATTTTACTTTTTCAGCTGAAACAGCGCAATACTCAAAGGAAATACATAAAATATGAAAGACAACGAATTTTCTTATCGCTTGAGAAATTTAGCCGTGAAAGTGACAAATTAATTGAATCATTGGTTCCTTTGAATTGCCACAAGAAACAAAAATGATACTCGATTAAACAACGAGGAAATTCAAAAAAATAAAGAGATCAGAAACTGGTTCGATATACCGATAACGACGATATGTAGTTCTTGAATCAAAGTATGAGAAAACTTATATTTATCTATTTATACTTTAGACCAAATAAATAGTTTTATGGTTATTTTAGTTATAATAATGAATCCTAACTCAGGTATTTGGATCCTATGATTGGGCATCATTTGAAGATAATCAATGTCATCATTATTTACATAAAAAAAAATAATAATTTGCGATACAATAAAAACATGTCTAAAAAGCAAAGCTTTATTTGTTGATTCACTGTTACACTTACAGTTTTTAGTGTTTGATAGAAATTTCTTTTTTACTAATAACTTCAACTCATTGAAAGGAACCTGATGACGCGTTCCACCTGGCGCAACAGGCGCAACAACCGATAATCTGTGTGGAAATAACTTCAATAATGAATGAAAGCAAATAGCCCCAATATATTTAATTCTGTGTTACCAAATAATAACTAATAATGTAAATCATTGTGTCAATAAAATCTTTGTTAAGACAAAAAAGTTTAGTTGTAAAACCTTAATGAAAGACAGGGTTCAACGTACAGGGGTTGGCGTATTTACTATTTGGGATAAAATTTGCAGAAGTCATGTGAAATTACAATGAGATATCGAAAAAAGAAATGGATGAAACAGTTTAACAACGGTAGAATTAGAAAAGATTTGTTATTGGTTAATAAATATGGAAATAGGTGAAAGAAACTTGAAACCGGCTTATCATGTCTTTATACGCAGTATTTATCGATTGCCGTTTTTATTTCAATTATAAATTCGGACGGAATTTTTTTTTTTTTAAAAAAAAAAAAAAAATGTCTTCAGGAGAAGAACCCATTAATTGGTTAGAGAATGAAGATAATGTCAAACATTATGAATATTCAGAATTTAAGGACGTACGACTAATAGGAACTGGCGCTTTTGGAAATGTTTTTTGTGGTCATTTAGAAAATAAGACTTACGCCTTAAAATCATTTAATAATGATGATGAACAAACTCTCAAAAGTATTGTTAAAGAGGTAAATTATTACTAAATTTCATAATTATTTTACAAACTTTTATACAGGATGATTTATATATAATACTTTTGTGTTGTAGCTAACGTTACATACGATCGTTCATCTTCACGAAAATATTATACAATTCTTTGGAATCACGATAGAAACCGGTAATTTTTAATAATGATACAATTAAGAAATAAATACCTTTTTTTATAATGTAAAAATATAACGTTATTATTACTATTCATTTCTTATTATTCAGACACAATACGTCAAGTAAAAAAGTACTCGCTAGTATTAGAATATGCTGATAGTGGTTCATTAAAAACTTATTTAAAGAAGCACTTCAGTGAACTTGGATGGAATGATAAAGTTGACTTAGCATTGCAATTGGCAAATGCTATATTATTTTTACATAAAAACGATATTATTCACCGTGATTTGGTAATATACTGTATATTATTTGCTTATTATTAATTCAATTCAATTCAATTAATTATTAATATAGATTTTTTTTTATTGTAATTGAAGCATGCAGATAATATACTTGTACATCAAGGAAAAATTAAATTAGCAGATTTTGGTTTGTCAAAAAGAATTGCCGAACCAACAAGTTTAACAACAGAAATGCTTGGCGTCGTGCCTTATATTGATCCAAGAAGTTTTAATAATCAATATAATGTTTATCTTAATCAAAATAAACATTACAGCTTAAATAAAAAATCCGATATATACAGTATTGGAGTTATTATGTGGCTAATTTCAAGCGGACGACGACCATTTTATCCTGAAGGTGTAAAATATGATATAAGTCTAGTCTTATCTATACGTGACGGTTATCGAGAAAAAATTATTAGTGGTACTCCCGCTGATTATAGTAATTTATATACTAGTAAGTTATAATAATATTTACCAGATTCTTTTTTTTTTTTCGTCTCAAATAAATACAGCATTAGTTATTTATTATATATGCGTATAATTTAAATTAGGATGTTGGAAAGGTAATCCAAATGAACGTCCAGATATACAAGATGTTGTTTCAGAGCTTCAAACAATTTTTAAAAGTGATATGCTTACGAATACTCGAACGCAGGTCGATCTTTTCGAACGAAGGAAATGTATTAACAACGAACGATTTTAGCCGAGAAATTTCAAATAGTATAAATAAAAGTCTATTAATAGAGAATATACCTAATATTATTGAGGCTAGAAGTGATTCATCAAGAATTTCAATGACTGATTCATTAAATTATTTAACTGTCAATAAATTAATTAAAATTATAATTAAGAAACATAGTCAAGGTATTACTTTTGATATTTTTGATCAAATTCAACAACTTATTAATGAAGAAATCTTACAATTAAATCAAACCGTTGATAATTTTATAAATTGGCTAACGAATAATCAGAAAGAAGCAAAATATAACTGGTTTTTGGGATTATTTTATTATTATAAGATTATAAATATTGTTACAGAAGAAGACAAAGTTAAAGTATTCCAATTATTTTCAAAAGCATCAGAAGTTAACTTTTCATTAGCCCAAATTTATCTTGCTATTTGTTATATTGAAGGATATGGAACAGAAAAAAATCAATATTTAGCATTTGAATGGTATAAAAAATCTGTAAACAATAAAAGTACTATTGGACAGCTTTATTTGGGTTATTGTTATGAAAATGGTATTGGAATTGAAAAGGATGAAAAACACGCAGTTTATTGGTACGAAAAGGCGAATAATGATAACATTATAACGGCAAAACTTTATCTTGCAAATTACTACAAATTAGGAAAAGGAGTTAAAAAAGATGAAAAAAAGGCATTTGAATATTATAAAATACTGGCTGAGGATAATGAAATTGCTGACGCTCAACTTCAATTAGGAAACTGTTATAATCATGGAATTGGAACGAAAAAAGATAATATTCTAGCTAAATGTTGGTATAGTAAAGCAAGAAAAAGTGGAAGTATTGCTGCAAAAGATATTCCCAAAGATTGTGAGATTAATTCTCATAAAATATTAATCTCTAAAAGATTAAATCAATTTCGTCTATATTATTTTGGAAAATTGCTATTAAGAATGAGATATGATAAAGCATTTCATTATTTTGAAAAAGCAGCAGAAATTGGAAATAAAGTTGCACAACATAATCTGGGTTGTTGTTATAGAGATGGTATAGGAGGTGTAGAAAAAAATGAAAGAAGGGCTTTTGAATTATTTAAGAAATCAGCTGAACAAAGTTATACAGATGGAATATTTCGATTAGGGTATTGTTATGATAAAGGAGTTGGGACTAGTATTAATAAAGTAAAAGCTTTTCAATTATATGAATGTGCTGCTAAGAAAGGAAATCTTGAAGCTCAAAATAATCTTGGACATTTATATGAAAAAGGTGAAGGAACTGAAAAGGATTTGAAAGAAGCAATTCGTTGGTATAAAGAAGCGTCAGATAATGGGAATAGGTTATCACAGTATAATTTAGCCGTATGTTATGAAAATGAAATAGGTGTTAAAAAAAGTGATGATAAAGCATTTGGATATTATAAAAAATCAGCTAAATATAGACGTCCATATACATTAAATTTGTTTTATGGAAATGAAATAAATTTTGAAAAGGATATTATTAAAGCTTTTGAATATTATAAAAAAGCATCTAAACAAAAGTATATAGAAGCACAATATAAAGTAGCATATTTTTATGATAAAGGAATTGGAACCAAGACTAATAAAAAAGAGGCATTTAAATTATACAAAAAGTTGGCTAAAAGAGGAAATAAATTTGCACAAATTAGACTTGGAACTTTTTATGAAAAAGAAAAGAAATTTGAAGAAGCTTTTTATTGGTATAATGAAGCGAAAGAAAACGAAATAGCATTATTTAATTTAGGAAGATGTTATGAATATGGAATAGGTATTGAAAAAAATGAAAATAAAGCATTTGAATGTTACGAGAAATCAGCTGATCAAGGATATACAGATGGAAAATTCCGGCTTGGTAATTTTTATAATGAAGGTATTGGTACTGAAATTAATAAAGAAAAAGCATATGAGTTATATAAAGATGCAGCAGAAAATGGAAATAAATTAGCACAAAACGTTCTTGGTTTCTTCTATGAAAAAGGTCATGGGACTGAAAAAAATGTGGAAACGGCATTCTTTTGGTATGAAAAGGCAGCAGTTAATGGAAATGAGATAGCACAATATAATTTAGGTATATGTTATGAAAACGGAATAGGTGTTAAAAAAGATGAAAATAAAGCGTTTGAATATTATATAAAATCGGCTGAACAAGGATACCTCAACGCGAAATATAGAGTTGCTGAGTGTTATTATAAAGGAATTGGTACCGATATTAATAAAGAAGAAGCATTGAAATTATATGAAGAGACAGCTGAAAAACAAAATAAGTCTGCGCAATATAGTCTTGGATCATTATATGAAAATGGGGATGGAATTGAAAAGAATGATGAAACGGCTTTTTTTTGGTATGAAAAAGCAGCAAATAATGGAAGTGAAGTAGCATTATATAATTTAGGCAGATGTTACGAACATGGAATAGGTGTTAAAAGGGATGAAGTTGAAGCTTTCAAATTTTATGAAAGGTCAAATAAACTTGGATATCCAAATGCACAATATAAAATTGCATATTATGGAAATAAAGAAATTGAGTTACATGAGAAAACCGTTGATAAAGAATATAAATTTTTATAATTTTTATATTAATAATTATTAAATAATAATACTGTGATATATGAGTGAACGTTGCCAGGCGCGACGCGGGATAACAATTGCCATATGTCCTAATTACATATATACTAGTGATAAATTTCAAAATAATTAAAATAATTAAATCTAATATATAGCTTATTAAATTTTGTATTATATATATCTAGTAAAATAAAATAAATATTTTATTGATCATGGCGCAGTAATTGTAATATCACGTGATTACATGCAAAAGCGGAAGGGTAAAAAATGTTAAATTGAAAAAAAAAAATTTTTAAGTCTCTATATTTCTGTCATAAAAAATAATAATTGAATAATCAATCATGTAAAGTATACTTTTTTAATAGCACTTTCCTTGAGTTGCCTTTTGTGATTCTTCAATATTGACATTAAATTGCTTTGACGCCTTTTCCTCAGCACTATAAATAATTATTTTTTGTACTTATTTGATAGATTAACTTTCCAAGTTACTTATGTACTTGACAAAGGCAACTCATTTGCGCACATCTCATGATATTGTAGGTCATAAAATTGTCTTACATAAAAATTTCAGACTACCAAAATTTTAACATCAATATTATATATCAAGTATTCTTTATAAATTTACCTTATCATGTTATTTAGAGATAGTAATATGCAAGATTTCGTGAAAAATGTGATAGAAAAATGTGATAATAAAGGGATAACCATGGTTATAGCAAATTTACAAACTCTAAACATAAAAATATCTACAGTTTCGTATTTTTTAAATGACTAATGGTACGTAACTAAATATGAAGTTCATATTCTTCTATTAAATGGTAACAAGAGAAATCAAATAGTATTTAAATAAAAACATTTTCTTGAAAAACATATGAGCGAATGGATTCCTTTTTTTTTTTATATTTGATTTCTCAGCAATATAATTTTTGTTCGTAAATATTAATTTGAAATTTTTCAAAATGATTTCAATGATTTCTGAAAATATAAATAATATTTGAATGACGAAAAGAGAATTCATTTACGGAATTACGAATAGCGTGTTTTTGAGCTTGTGTAATGTAACTTTCCGGATAAGAATTGGGCCTATAACTAGTTATAAAAGGGGATTGTCTAAAAGCCGTGTTCGATCACGTACCTTGATTGGTCACTATAAATAGCCAGATATTATGATTGGCTTATGATCACGGGAACGAACATGGCTTTAGGCGAACCCAGCCGACCCCTATAAAAGGAAATCTAAATGCACGTATCACTAAACCAATTATGATCCGAAAATACCATTTTTGGAATCAAAGAAAATAAAAATAGTTGTTATCGACCATCTGACCTATTTATTTAACGAGCATTATAAATTTCTTTTTTGGCGATTAATTTTGATTCATTTGTAATGCAACAATAAAAACATAAAAGCGAAAAAACATCAATTTCTGTAATTTTTTCTCTAACAACGAAATGGGCGAAAAGAACAAAATGGATTACGATATTGACCATATTGAACTTGAGACGACTCTTAAGAGTATTCGTAAAGTGAGTTTTATGAAATTTTTTTAATACTTAAAACTTTATTATTAATTTCAATCGTTTGTTAGGAAAAACATGATATAGATAATGATCCAACGCCGCTTATCAGTGCTGCTCCTATTGGGGATGGGGATGATGACCTTCTTCATTGGGAAGCTGCAATTATCGGTCCCGTAAGCAATATTACTTTCTTCATTACTAATTAATTTTTTTTTTTTACACCAGATTTTAACTTTAATTTTACATTTTTATCGAATAGCCTAACTCTCCGTATTCGAGTGGTGTATTTTTCCTTGATATTCATTTCCCCATAGGTTATCCATTGAAACCGCCAACGGTGTATATTTTATATAATTGTGTTCATTTGTGTTGTGTGTATATTTTTGATCGTAAGAACTTATTCTCAGTCTCTCATATATACCCAAGGTAATCTTTAAAACAAAAGTTTATCATCCAAATATCAACGGTGATGGATGTATAGGTCTAGACTGCCTAGGTCCTCTATGGTCACCAGTATTAACCATTTCAAAATGTAATTTACACTAATTGTAAATAAAATTGTTATAATAATTCTTTAAGGCAAAAAAGTTATTAATTAAAAATATAATGATTTCTCTCCAAGTGTTATTATCAATTTGTTCATTGTTGACTGATCCAAATCCAGGTATGTATTATTTAATATTCAACATAAAAAAATAATATGTTGATATTTTTATTTTTTTATTTATCCCAAATTAAAAAAAAAACTTTCTTCTTACTCAAATGAAATTTTTTAATTATTAGAAATTACGTTTGACTCCGAAATTGCTCACATATATAAAACTGATCGCTCTCGTTATGAAGATATTGCATGGGAATGGACATGCAAATACGCCAGTGATTATAATTAATTTAGTGTATCTTTTTGAATATTTATATATTTTTTTTTATATAATTAATTATAGTAATAAAACCAAATACGTAAATAGTTGTCTCAAAAAATAAATACACGAAACAGCAGTCGAAACATGTTAATATTATTACTTATTATTATACTAAGTAATGTCATGTTTTCATGTGTTGTTTCGAGAATTATTTTTGAATATGGATTGAAAATTTAACTTCTCGCGAAACTGATACTTCTTTTGGTACATAGGATTTCAGGATGCAATTATTCAGTGATACGCTTGGCTTTGGCAGGGATTGAATTGTAGTTCGCACCATCACCCTTATTTAAACATTCTTTTAATAACCTCTACTAAATGTGTAAATATTTCAAAGTTTCAATAATTGATTTTTTAGTTTAACTTCGGAGTTATCTTTCACTTTTATAATTTTACAGTATATAAACCTCACTTTAGAAGTTTTAGGAGTTTTATTTATATTTTTATATTCCTTAGCTACTTATAATTTAAGACATTGAGTTCTTATTATTGAAAATTTTAACATTATTTTATTACTTACGGCGCTATTTAAATTATTTGAAGAATTATTAAATTTAAGACCCATTATTTTTGGTTCAAAAACTTTAGTAATTCTGGCCTAATTTACAATTCCAGCCAGAATTAATAAGTCACATGCAGCCGTTAGTTATGCTGCGCCATCAATCAATGATATCAAATAATTTGTTACGCATAAAGAAAGTAGTGGCAAATCGCATAATATTGTTATGGTGCTCAAACTGCCCGCAACAGGCTAATGGTGAGTTAATAGAAAAAATTGTCCTACTCATTGATCGCTTAAATAGTTTTTACGAAATATTATTATAAAATTATAAAAATTTTTAAACGAATTTTATTATTTTAAAATGATAGTTCTCTCAGTATGTGTGATACATGTTATCTAATGAAAAAAAATAAAATGCGAGAAAAATTTTTGTAAAATCAAAGAAAAAAAAAAAAAAACAGTGTAACTAAAATTATTATTATTAATTATTATTACTATAATGATTTATATTCTAAAAATATTTAAAATATCTTATTGACTAATTTTTAATCGTCACTTCTAATTTCATTAATTACAATTGCATTTAACATTTTTCGAGTTGTCCTCTTTTGAAGATCATGTTCTAAGCATAAAGCAACGACATCTTCCGGTATAGTTTCTTTTTTCAAAGTATCTTGAAGTTCTATAATTCCCATAACCATACCAATTTCGACGTGCCATTCAATGTGACAATGGAAAGCCCAAACACCAGGATTATCAGTGATGAAACGAATAACCAAAAATCCATTTCCAGGAATAGTTACAGTATCACGAACGACAGGATTTTTCTTGTTATATTTGCTTTCATCAGGGACATCACCTTTTTCACCAACAAACATTATAGCGAATACATGTCCATGCATGTGAAATGGATGATCGGCATTGTTATCGTTTTTTACATAAATTTCTGCAATACCACCATTGTGATTAAGAATCACAGAATTCTGATCTTTTGGTAAATCTTTAGCAGCGATATCTCTTGTGATTTTATTGATCGTTGGATCATTCAATTGAGGTACGAACGAAGAGTTATTAATTAAAGCTTCTAATCTTTGATTCTTATCCGCTCCGAACGTAATGGTAATATTGACAAAATCAGTAACATGACCATCATATTTAGTGATGGGTTTAATAGGTTTTAAATGTTTTTTGTCAAGATCACGACAAGGAGTAAAATCATCATCGAATTCTTTCGAATTTGGACTATTTTTTGCACCTTCATAATGAAGTATACCAAGACCATCCCAGTCGATAGCGGAATTAAAATTAATTGTTGCATTATTATTTGGAGTACATCTTTTATCTAGAGTTCCACGAATAAAATAGTTTCCAACTGGTTGGTTAGCATCAACAATCACGGAATAACGTTGACCGACAGCAACGGGTAATTTTTTAATTATGGTTGGTTTAAGATATATTCCTTCCGATTCTATAACCTTAAGTTTATGTTGATCAATAGAGAAGACGAAAACACCATCTGCAGCGGAATTGATTATACGGAAACGATATTTTTTATTCTTTTTAACATTATATACGGGTAATGGTTGATCAGAATTACATTTGGATCCAGGGGGAGCTGCAGTACAGTTATATCTACCAAGACCGGATATAAGTGGAGAATCTGGAATAGGGCGAAAACCACTATAACCTGGAGCGTCCTGAAGTGGTAAGAGAACACCAGTTGTACTATATAATAATAAATAGAAATAATTTTAAAGCATATAACAAATTTTTGAAATTCATTACAAGAAAATATTTACTTATGATGCCAATCTGATAACATGACAAGGTATTCAAAATCGTATTGTTTTAAATATGGATCATCTGGGTCGTGAACACTTTTTTTTGATCGAGTTAAAAATATAAATTATTAGCAATAAGTATATGTATATATGTATAAAATTAAAAGGTGAGGAAACATAAAAGAAGAGAATTTCTTGAAACCTTTTATATAAAAATCGAGGCCAATTTTTCTTTAAGCAGTTTATTTACNTACTTATGATGCCAATCTGATAACACGACAAGGTATTCAAAATCGTATTGATTTAAATATGGATCATCTGGGTCGTGAACACTTTTTTTTGATCGAGTTAAAAATATAAATTATTAGCAATAAGTATATATGTATAATTCATTTTTTAATAAAAAAAAAAAATCAAAATTTACACAAGTGATCCACGTAAACCATCAACGTATTGGGCAAAAAAATGAGAGTGATACCAGTAGGTACCATGTTGATCGGTTGTACTAAAATTATAGACTAAAGAAACATCGTTTGGAATTGGACATTGAGTCTAATTACGAAAGGGATTATTTTTTGATTATTAAAGAAGATCTGGAAAAAAAAGGAAAGAAAACTATGATAAAAAAATTGTCTACTTACTTGTCCTGGAACTCCGTCGTACCAATTTGTACCATGTTGAAACATACCATGCCAGTGAACAGCTAAAAATAATAGTGAATATATGTCAATGACAATCTTTATAACAATTATAAATTATAAACAAACATACTTGCTGGATCATCAAAGTGGTTTGTTACATTTATAACAAGTCTATCTCCTTTATTTGCTTGAATAAGTGGACCAGGATGTTGACCGTTTACACTCCAAACAGTTCTTTCAAAACCATCAGGTGACATTTTAACTTTTTTTAATGTCAATTGATAATAACGAGTTACAGGTTTATTAGTGAAAGTAAGATGTGTAATGGGTTTAAAATAATCGGTTTTAATAAATTTGTATGGTTCATTAAGATTTGTAATTTCATTAGTATAATCTTTCAAATGAAGACTATCCCCACTAACGGTGTGAACGCTTGTTTCAATAGCTACAGATCCAATCACAAATAATGAGATAAAGAGGATTAAAATCCTCTTAAGATTAAATTTCATTTTTAATAAGGTCATAAATTGAAATTTATTATTAATTGTACCTTAAAATTAAAAGGTGAGGAAACATAAAAGAAGAGAATTTCTTGAAACCTTTTATATAAAAATCGAGGCCAATTTTTCTTTAAGCAGTTTATTTACTTCATTCGACATTTTACTACATTATTAACGTGAATTCAATTTTGTTTACCCCATATGCTTCTTGACGTTATGCTACATTACGAACATAATGCAATATTATTTTAACAAACAAAGACTTTATCGTGTATAATCTAATTTAAACAATTAACTCCTTATTTCTTTTTTTTTCTTGACTAAATCGTTCAACTTACTAAAAATAACAGAATTATGGCTTTTTATGATTTTGCGATTTGTCCTCAGTATTTGTTAAAAAAGTTCAAATAAATATGCGATGAGAAAATTTTAAAATTAAAATAGTACAAAAAAGCTAATCTTGATTTATATATAATTATTCCGGATCAAAGTATTATACCAATTGAGCGTAAAATGATCATCAATTTAATCCTCTTCGGTAATAGTTACATTAATAAACGAATAAAATTCTTATTGCTATTTAAGGGACAATTTTAACTCATCTATTGTAATACACTAACTTTATTTATCAAATATCAGAATATTCAAGAATTAAGAATAAAAGAAAGATATTATAACTGGATTCCTAAATGTAAAATACCCTCAAACCTTAAAATTTTATCGATAAATCATTAAGCTTGGCAATAATCATAAATTTATTTTAATAATTATATAATAATAGAACCATTGTTATTTCATTCTTTCTCTTTCTAAAAAAAAAAAAAAGACTTACTTTTATTTTTGGAACTCACACAATTAAGGTTTTACTGTACATTTGTTTCAGATTTTTGATTGGCAGAAAATCATTATTATACTCTAACCGAAATTTACAAACATCAAATAATAATGTGTGAAATAAATGAAATAACCTTTTTCCTAAAAATACTATCCATTTAACACATTAATACAATCAATTAATAGTTTATCTGTTTTTTTTTTATTTTGATAAAATTGTGAAAGAATAAAAATGCCCTCCACGTGATAATCACCACGATCTTCAGAATATTTATATAGTCATTATTTATACCTACTATATTTAATACTTTATAATTATTATTTGAGAATGTGTAAATTGAGATAATTTTGCTATATGAAATTTAACTCTAATAATTATCCGCGTGAAATATTTTTTTCCATACACAGTTCTGAATTTTATTTTATCATGAAATAATTATGATAAAAAAAATAAAAATAAATACAGTAAAATAAATAAATAAAAAAAAAAAAAAATGATCAACATGCTGCGGATACCTGCACGACCAGAATTAAAGTTTAAACCGCGAGTTACCATTAATATTAGACATTATTATTTCATTATTATGTTTATAATGATTCTCAACTTCTTTTCCAAGGTAGATTAGATTCCAAGTTTTAAGTTAATTCTTTTATTAAGAATCTTTTAATTGTTTTCGAATTATAAAACCTTATCGTCAATGATTACTGTTTTTCTAATTTTTTTTTAAAAATGTGCACCCTATAAAAAATTTTATCCGTTATTTCTGTAGAAACTCCGTAAAGATTAGCCTTTCCCGGATCCATTCACGGAAAATGTAAATAATTCGATAAATTCCGTGATATAAGGTTATTAATTCCGGAAATATGAACCTTTTACGGGAATATGAAAAATGGATCGACTTTTTTTACAGGGGTAAGCTCAAAACACAAATTGTAAACTTCATCTACAAAAAAAAATGCGAACCAAATGTACCAATTAAGTGCAAGTGAGTGAACAACCGGGTTGGATTTTTGAAACCTGATCATTTATAATGTATAAAAAAAATTGATTTTATTTTTGGGCCGTAATTATTATTATAAAACGCATCACTGGTGTTGAGCTACGTATATATCACGTGATCATAATTATTTCAATAATATGATAAAGTAACAAACACGTTTAATTCGACGTCAAATTTGTTTATCGGATAAAATTTTTGTTCCTCCCCCACTTAAAAATTTTACTATTGCCGTTCCCCGTTTAAAAATTTTGCCGTTGTCGATTTTTGCACGTGACAGTATCGCTGAACTTCACGAAATTGAAATTCTGGAATACACCTTTGACATTTAACGAATAATGAACAACTGTCTGATGGATTTTTTAAAGATGAGGAAGCTGAAAACGAAGAATCACTGTATCCAGCTGCGCCAGAAATGGTTTTTACAGATTGAAAAATCTAGACGAGTAAGTTGTAGAAACTAAAATAGCAAATTTTCACTTGTTATCACAGTTACAGCACTTATTTTAGTGTTTTATTAGGTGGCTTAATAATGGATTAAAACAAGGATTTGCTTTTACAATTACTCGTAGTGACAAATAGGTTATTTCGACACCGTACTTATGCATGTATGAAGGGACTAGCGTATATAGTTACTGTATATACCACGAAAAGCAGCACATAAAATGAACGTAATGCAAGACACCATACGGACAATTGTAAATTTGCTTATCACCGGAAAAGACAATCTTGTCTAAAAAGTTGATGGTGAACATAATCATGCACTTGTGGAAAATATTGGTATGATTGCATCACGTTATCGCAAGCTTGATCCTGATGATATAAAACTTCTTGCAACCTGTGGAGTTCGTGCTGGTGCAATTATAGAAGTTTTACAAAAGAAACATCCAGACAAATACGTTCATGCTCGCATTGTATATAACGTTGACCAAGTTATTCAACACAAAAATAGTGGTACTGGTGATGCAGGTTCAATGTATTTTGAGCTTACGAAGCAACAACAAGAAGATTCAACCTTTTATGTGGATGCATATTTTGAAGGCAAAGATAATCATCTCGCAAGACTCTCTTGATGCGTCTAAGTCAGCTGCAACTATGGCGCCGGTTTCATGATGTAATTTTGTTTGATACAGCAGCAAAAAACAAACCATTATTCAATAATATTATGTGATAATTTTAATAGACAACCATAATCGTTCTCGTTATCTCATATAACAGTAAAAGTTTTATTATATTTATCATGGTATCAATTCTAAACCTTTAATAGTTATTATTTTAATATAAAGTTTAATATTTTAATTGCCTATCTGACTAAGAACGGTACCGTTGTAAAATTTGATGTATGATTTTTAGCTTATTCCTAGCTTGAACTTTCCGTATACAGTGTATAGTATAATTTTTATGACATCACTCGGGTTTCCAACCTTTTGGTATACTAATAGTAGAATCTGTCACGTGTACAATGCAAACTTTTTTTAAAAAATTGCAAATATGTATTTTTTTTAGCCTATTCCTCTTCCTTGAGTTACACTGATCAGTTATGTTAAATATACGTGAAGAACATCCCATTTTTCTTTACCACAAAATTTCATATTAAAATAACATGCCATAATACCAGAATGTAAAAGTCATAGACGATACTCTAAATCTCATTTTATCCATAAAGTAAGCATGTAAGAGAAATAAAAATCACGTTATATGTAACCTTAATAACCTAGAGTTTGTATCAATTTTTTTAATTTATTTAGATTACAAAATTTTTATATATACAAGTAAATTACAAACTTAGGATATCTAACAACTAATAAGCTGTGTCGATATTATTGCCTTAAGTGTTGAAAATGATTAAAAGATAATATTTTTATAAATTTTTGAATTATTTAAATTTAGATAATATATAAAAAAGGTGCATTTGTTCCTCAGATTTAATATTACTCACCCCAAGTCATAAGTAAATTCGTAGAGCAAGCAAAATTACATGATTTGAAGTACTTAACTGAAACTTGCTGTTATAATTGTTAAAAGCTATAATAAAGTTTTAAATGACCTGTGTTAAATTAAAGTTAACTTTCATATACAATACGCATTTATTAATAATCTTTGGACCATGTTATTAATACATTTGTGAAAATTTAAATTGAATGATCAAAATAGGATTAATTTGAAAATTTTCTTTTTAATTTATAGTGTTTCTAACTTAGCCAAGTCTTTTAAAAAGCTTGTTGTCACCTGATCACCAACGTTTAGGTGCAACAGGACCCCGGATAATTATAATAGAGGTCACATCCGCAGTACTAATTAAAAATTCAATGAAATATACATAATTTTTGCCGTTTTGATATACATTTTTATCATATGACCTTTATACATATTAAAAATATCCTTTTTTATCATATGACTAATAATATTTTTTTTTTTTACAAGAAATACTATATTTCATATTAAATTTATTCAGCATTATCATTATTGACTTTGTAGCAATAATCAATTGTAATTTATATATAACTGAATTAAAAAAACTATAGATTGCCATTTCTTTTTTTCCTACAATTAAAAATCCCATATTTTCAGTAAAATTTTTGCAATTTCCTAAATAATAAATGAACAAATGACTAGGAATATGTGAAAACAAAACATATTTTGGTTCATCCATTGGAAAACATCCAAAAATATTTGGAATCTGTTCTATATAAACATATACTGAAATATAAGAAAGTGAATTAATACAGCTAATACTATCAACATAAGAATGATAATTTGTTAATTTATGATACATAGCCAAAAATTGAACAAGGCAAATTTTTGATCCCAAAAGTGCAAATGCGTAACCATCATGATTGGCGGGATTTTCCAAAGTAACATTTGCAATGCTAATGCTTGAAAGCTAAATAAATTATAATACAAATTATAAATTAATATAAATTTGCAAACAATAATCTGGAGCATTTTGATAACTTTCTAATACTTCTAAACGTGTTCTATTTTGCCATTTTTTAGTTCTTAAATGTCCAGTTTTTGCACCATCATTTTGAGCTAAAGCAACTAAGTAAATTTGATAAATTTATTACATTGCGGTAAATTTATCATATAAAATGAAAGATTTAATATCGTGATAAATTTATCTAATATAAAATGGTCGTTTGCTAATTATATTGAAAATTGATGTAACACTGCATATGATATTTCCCAAATATACGCTTTTATTAGAAAATCACATGTGACCTTATACTTTTTTTACTGTGACCTAATTTGATGGTACTCTATTTTGACATGTAACGTTTTCTTAAAATACCCATTTTTTCATATGACCTTTCCATTAAAAATGCAAAATTATATACTTTTTTTGCATATGACCTTTATTATAATTATCCGGGGTCCTGGTGCAACAACATTGGTCAGGAGGGAAAATAGAAGGAAAAGCGAGAGAGGGGAAAGGGGAAAAAGCAAGGAAATAGGGAAGGGAAAGGGAAGAATGAAGGAAGGGGAGTAGGGCAGTTATATTGTCTTCTCAAGAGTAAGTGTATATCAACATATTAAGGTCTTTATAGACAATGGTGAGAACTGCAAGACAAGAAACATTGTATACTGTGAAATATTTCATTCTATAAATAGAATTCACATTTTAAAAATAACATTTTTTATATAAAACAATTTTTCATATATAATATTTTATATATAACATTCATACACAATTCACTTTTATTAGTATAAATATATAAATTATATAAATTTATTAGATTATTTTCTTCTAACCTTATCATACTGTAAATAATATTATTAAAATACTAAGTCTGTTTCATTGTTACTTTTCTCGACTTGATGGGCAAGTTTTATTTCCATGACAGGTTACTCCTAGTTTTATATATACAAATTCAAATTTTATGATCACAGCTCTCATTTAGAATTCGCAATTTTAGGAATAATTCAATGATTTTAAATTTGAATATAGTCAACAATGCAAGAATTTGGTTAACACTTTTTAAAATTCAAAATGTTAGTTAAGATAGGTCAAAAATCAAAACCTGGCTCAGGATTATCATAAAAGACTATGAAAATGCAATAAAATTTCAGAATAAAATCTTTGAAATGCAATATCTTGGCTTCTAGTGATTGGATTTATGTGATTTTAGGCTTGTTTAAAAGCTCTTAACTCAACCTACCCAATGATATAAAAACTGCATAGCGCAATGACTGCTATTTAGATATTTCGGCTAACTACACAATTATAGAAAATATGGAGTTTTTATTTTTTTTCTTTTTGTTGTCTTTTTTTTCCTAAGATAAATGTTGCCAAATAAGCAATGAGCCAATCAAAATTTAGACGCCACAAAAAACACGTAGGGGTGAAAAATTTGGTGGTGTTACTGGGGTAAATTAGGTGCGTTACGGAAAACAATTTTTTTAACATCATTACACGAAATAAATTTTTTTTTACACATAAACATATGAACTTATTTATTTTTTACTTTATTCAAATCGCTAAATTTAGTGGCGCCACAGAAAAATTTTTTATCAGCCCGCATCGTAACTTTAAACAAAAATCAATTTTAGAATCTTCCATCGAAACACAATGCAGCATGACATTTAAAGACTCTTAATTTAGGAATAAACCCGTTTAATCGGTTGATCAACAATGAAATGCACGTGAATTCGGAATTTTTGTCCGATTTTGCAGGAAAAATTTTTTTTTTTTATTTATATTTGAACGAAAACTAATTTTCTTTTTTTTTTAAAAAAAAAAACGGAGAAATTCTTACAATGTCAAATGATAATGACACGAATGATTATAGTGATTGGTTAGATAAATATTACGATCGTTTCGATTATTCGGACTTTACAGTTTTAGAAAAAATTGATACCGGCTCTACCGCACGAATTAAAATTGCTACATTAAAAGATATTAAGGATACTAAATTTGTTTTGAAATGTTTTAATTATGTTAATTATGATAAAATAACTCTTGAAAAAGTTGTTAATGAGGTAAAGTATGTATTAAAAGTATCTTGTATTATGGAACCAATTAATAAAATCATTTAATTTATATAAACATATATTTTTACAGATACGATTGCTAAGAGAAGTTAACTATCATCCTAATATTATAAGATTATATGGTATCACAAAAGGTAAGAATTTAACGATAAAATACATACTAATTGAATCCAACTTATAATATGTTTATATATATTATTTATCTTGTTTCAGATCCAATATTAGGAAATTGTTCATTAGTACTGGAATATGCTGACGGTGGTACATTGCAAAATTATTTACAAAATCATATTAAAGAACTTAAATGGGATGATAGATTTGACTTAGCGTTTCAGATAGCAAGTGCTATATCTTGCTTACATAATCACGATATTATTCATTGTGATTTGGTAATTATAAATTATTTAATATATTTTTTTTTCATAACTTTAAGAATAAATGAATTAATCAAATTTTATATTTAATTTTAAAAGCACTCAGCAAATATACTTGTGCATCAGAACAAAATTAAGTTGGCGGATTTTGGTCAATCAAAAAAAATTGTCGAAGCATCAAGTAGTAGTACATCAAGTGTATATGGTGTAGTACCTTATGTAGATCCGAAATTTGACGGTAAAAATTACAGATTAAATAAAAAATCTGATGTGTATAGTATTGGGGTTATTATGTGGCAAATTTCAAGCGGACGACAACCATTCCATACTGAAAAATATGACGCAGGCTTAATGTGCCAAATAAAAGGAGGAAAAAGGGAAGAAATAATTGAAGGAACACCTACTTTTTATAGTGACTTATATGAATGTAAGTTATATTTTATAGTAATATCTACTGAATAATTTTTCGTCTTAAAATAGATATAGTACTTAATTATTATTATTAATTAGGGTGTTGGAAATATGAACCAGATGAACGACCAGATATACAAAAAGTTGTTTCGATACTTAAAAAGGAGATGGGTAAATTATTTACTAATTCTATTACTACATATTTATAACATTTACATAGAATTTATACTAATTAAATTCTTTATTTAAAAAATTATTTAATAATATAGTTTGTAAGTTATTTATTTAATTTTATTATCACATATTTATATTTACTACATAACTTAAACTAACTAAATTTTTTCTTCTAATATATAGCTTGTAAGTTATTTATATTAATTTTATTATTATCTATTATATATAATTTAAACTAACTAAAATTTTATTTATTTTAAAAATCATAGTTTGTAAGTGATTTATTTAATTTTATTATCACATGTTTATATAAATTTAAACTAACTAAACTTATTATTCAAAAATTATTTAATAATATAGTTTGTAAGTTATTTATTTAATTCTATTATCATATATTTATATTTACGTATTATCTAAACTAACTAAATTTTTTCTTCTAATATATAGCTTGTAAGTTATTTATATTAATTTTATTATTATCTATTATATATAATTTAAACTAACTAAATTTTTATTTATTTTGAAAATCATTTAATAATATAGCTTGTAAGTGATTTATTTAATTTTATTATCACATGTTTATATAATATTTACATATAATTTAGACTAACTAAATTACTTGTTTAAAAAATTATTTGGTAATTCTTTTAGACTGTAAGTTATTTATTTAATTCTATTATTATATTATTTTATATAACTAAATTATTTATTTAAAAATTATTTGGTAATTTCTTTTTAGTTGGTAAGTTATAAGTTACTTTTTTAATTCTTGTATTACATATTTATATATAATTTAAACTAAATTCTTTATATAAAAAATTATTTAATAAAATAGGAGGTAAGTTATTTATTTACATATTTATATAATATTCAGTATTGTTCACATATAATTTATACTAACTAAATTCTTTATTTAAAAAACTATTTGGCAATTTCTTTAGTTGGTAAGTTATTTAATTTTATTATTATTATTATATATTATATAATATTTATATATAATTTAAATTAACTAAATTCCTTATCTGTTATTTAAAATCATTTAATAATATAATAGATTGTAAGTTACTTATTAAATTCTATTATTACTTATTTATATAATATTTGCATATAAATTAATTGGCTAAATTCTTTATTTAATGAATTATTTAATAATATAGCCTGTAAGTTACTTATTTAATGTTTATTACATATTTATATAATATTTGCATAATTTAATCTAACCAAATTGTTTATTTATAATAATATAGCTTGTAAGTTATATATTTATTATATATTTATATAATATTTACATATAATTTAAACTAACTAATTTCTTTATTATAAATTATTTGGCAATTTATTTTAGATTGTAAGTTATTTATTTAAAAATATTGCTAAATATCACTAGTTGTGAAATTATGATGTAATTCCGGCCAGTATTTTATTAGATTTTTAATTCTGGCTAAAAGTGCATCATAATGTCATAATGCTGGTATGGTAATCCTCGCCATTAGTGAGCTTTAGCAATTTCTTTTATTTAATTCTATATAATTATATAATAATTTATATTAATTAAATTCTTTATTTAATAATATAGGGGGTAAATTATTTAAATTCTATTATTATTATATATTCATATGATATTTGCAAATAATTTAAACTAATTAAATTCTTTATTTAAAAAATTTTTTGATAATTTATTTCAGATTGTAAGTTATTAATCCTATTATTATAATTTACATATAATTTAAACTAACTAAATGTTTTATTTAAAAAATTATTAATTTACATATAATTTAAACTTAAATGTTTTATTTAAAAATTATTTAATAATATAGCTTGTAAGTTATTTATTTAATTCTATTATTAAACTAACCACTAACTAACCCCTTATTTAATAATATAGATCGTAAGTTATTTATTCATTATACATTTATATTTAATTTAAATTAATTAAATTTTTAACTAAAAATTATCTATAATATAGAAGGTAAGTTACTTATTTAATTCTATTATTATATATATTTATATGATATTTCCATATAACTAAATTCTTTATTTGAAAATTTATTTGATAATTTATTTAGATTGTAAGTTATTTATTTAATTCTGTAATATAATAATTATATATAATATGAACTAATTAAATTTTTTATTTAATAATATAGGGAAAGACCCTGCTTACTTCACTAGGTCTCTCCTAATGTAAAATTACATATGCAATAGACAAAGGTCTTTGGATTCGTAAGATAAAGTCAAAGTAGCTCTCTGGTATTATAAGGTAAATTTAAATTCATATATATCGTTATATTGCCATCAGATCTAATTTTTATAATGAAAAATTTTTTTTTAATATTCTTATTTTTTTCAGTTTGTTTAAACTGAAAATTTATTTATTTTTTTTTAGTATTTTTTTTTTTTGGTTGTTTAAACCAAAAAGTATTATTTTTTTCATTTTTTTTATTTTTTCGGTTTGTTTAAACCAAAAATTATTTAATTTTTTTTTAATCGAAAATTTTTGTTTTTTATTTTTTTTGGTTTGTTAAACCAAAATTCTATTTATTTTTTTCGTTTGTTTAAACCGAAATTCTATTTATTTAAAAAAACTCTTTTATTAAAGTTTCGGGTGGGTACTATTTTATATTATTTCCTTCTTCTAAAGGATCTCATTGCGAAACTTTCTTTTGTTTTTTTTTTTGTTATTAGAAACATTGTCTTTGGTTTTATATCGATTTCAATTATTTTACTTTTGGGTTTGGCTCATTTTGAACTTGCATGAGTATATATCTTTGGATCTTATTTAATGTTGTCTAATGTTTTTATCTTTGATTTCACTCTGATCTCATTTATTTAATTTTGTCTTTGGAGCTGATCTTATATATTTTATTTCTACCATTGATTCGTTATATCGGTGGTAGTTATCAAAAAGTCTGTAAAATCACGTGAACCAGACGTATACTGTTACTGGATTATAGATAAAATTTTCCCAATCACCATAAATGTGTTTAGATTCTAATAAAAAATTTTCGATTAAAACTAATACTATGTAAAATAAATTTTTTTATTGGGTAGTTATTTAACCTAGAATAAATTAGCAAAACTTTTAGAAGAGTAAAATATCCAATTAAAATTTAGTATTTTTTTTTTGTGTGAAATCAGCAAATTATTTATGGTGAAATTACCTACAGTATATTTTTTATTTTATTTTTTATTTATTTATTTTTAACTTTTGCGATTTATTTTTACCATTTAAAAAAAAATTATGCTTTAGAGGATTGTATTAATCATGTTAACCGAAAGAGATTTTTTTTCAAATAATACTATGTTAGCCTCCGTAACTATACATTAATAAGATAAACCTTCGAAAAATACGTATTAGTCATACTTGATGTTTCACATCTATTTCTAATTGTAATTATTCCTTTATTGCTAACTTATCTTTGTCCCGTATTCTTGATATAGTCTTTCTATAAGCCATAAGCCATATAAGTATTAGTTATCCTGGCTAATTAGGAATAAAGTAAAATTTTACTATTCCAATTAGCCAGGATATAACTGGTTTATTTATACAATAGTAAGTATTTTATAGTATATCGTGAGTATATAATCTTAATTTTCTTTCGCTTGTTTTTTTTCATTTTAAAAGATTTTAAAATTTTAAAAAGCTTCGGAACTATTACTATTAAACTTGAAAAATAATATTGCGATTACAAATAAATTAAAAGATAGTTTTTCTCATTTGGAAAATGCAAATCTTTCTGAATTACTCAAATGTTCAAATCAGTCCATTATAGTATAATCAATAGTTAATTTTTACTGCAAAATTTCCTAGAAACGGATAAATAAATACATATAAAATTTGCTACCCTAGGTATAACTACATTTGCGTAATCGTGTAAATAGTGCCGATCAGGGGATAATATAAATGTGATTTAAACGTATCCACGTATAATTATCTAACTTCTGCATAACAAAATTTTTAAATAAATAAATAGAAATAATTTTAAAATTTTATAAAAAATGTGAACATTCTTAATAAATCAAACTGGTACAATTGGGTAGTGACGTAAAATATGCAAAACATAAAAATTTTAGAGTGCAGGTTACATGATGAATGGGATTCTAAGTATAAATGAACCAGGAATTTGATTAAATACATAGAACAAAATCAATTTTTAAATACTAAATTTTTTATGTTATAAATGTGTAAGTGAATATATTTAAACATTGAATCTAAAGATTACATTTATAAGAACTATTGTAAATTTAAAAATATTGGATACAAAATATTTTTCAAAAAGTAAAAATGTATTTAATAGCAAGAATAAATGTACGTATATTTTAAATAATGACAATATTGAAAAAAATTATGAACTTACAAGTAAAATAATTCAATAATCAATAGTCATCAGGAACTAAAAATACAAAGTAAATTATTTATTCTAGATCTCAAAATAATAAAATTATTGTGAATAAACTTACTGTCTAAATCATTATTTATATCATCTTCCATAAATTTGATTATAAACAATTTATAAATAATTAGAACTTATAAAAATTAAAACAAAAAAGCATATATGTTGATTACCTGCTTCAACATTAACGTTTGCTTCTGTAGTTCATTTTGTAGAAATTTATTATTAAAAAAAAAAGGAAATTACTACTTATATAATTTTAATTATTATAAATAATAATTTTTTACCTTGTGCATCAGTATCATTGTCATTATCATCTTGAATATCTTGAATATCTTTAATGCCTAATATTAATTTATCATAATAAAGTTTAAACCAAAATTATTTATCATGTATATTTTTTTAGTAAAAATTATTATTGCAAGTTAAACGTTCTTACCTTGCATATCATCATTAATATCTTGAAAGTCTTGAATACTCATCGCTTTTCCTAATTTAACTAATTTACTGAAAACTTGACTAATTGATGGTCTTTTATTCGGTTCAAGATCCCAACATGATTTATATAATTTCAAGTATTCATAAGGTGTATCAGGTACTGGTTCTTCCCTACGTCCACCTATTAAATCAGTTTTTAAAAGACTATCACTAATGTTTTTATCGGAAAAAGGAGGTCTACCACTGGATAGTTCCCACATAAGAATGCCTAAACTATAAATATCTGACTTATCGTTATATTCGTAAAAATAATCCTCTAATCGTTTGGGATCAATATATGCAATCATTCCCATAACGCCTGAATGGATATTTGTTTGAGTTTCAATACTTTTTGCAATACCAAGATCAATAATTTTAGCTTCTCCTTGATGTATTACAATATTTTTAGAATGTAAATCTCGATGAAGAATATTTTCTCCCTGAAGAAATTTTATTCCATCAGTAATTTGATAAGCCAATTTTATTTTATCATCCCAAGATAATGTTGAAAACCGATTTTTAAGATATTCACGTAAATTTCCACTATCAGCATATTGCATTACAAATAAATATTCTTTTGTACTTTCATCTATAAATAAAATAGTAAGTATTTAATTATTTTTATTATTATAATGAGTAATAATAATATAGTATATTAGCTTACCTAAAATTATACCTAATATACGTATTATCCTTTGACAAAAATCCAGTCTCCTAACCATTTTTAATTCATGAAGAAATGCTTCAATTGGTTTATTACTAATTGATTCATCATTATTTAATTTTTTACAAACAACATAATTATTTGTCTTTTTCCATATAGCTCTCGAAATAATGCCAAAATGACCCGCATCAATTTTTTCAATATCTGTTAATTCACTTCTATCAATCAATTTAACTAATTTTTGCTCTATAATCAAATTAATCAATTCCGCTCCTAAATTTTTATTCATTACTTCCAATTTATTAAAAACTTGACTTATTGATGGTCTTTTATTGGACTCAGAATCACAACATGATTTATATAAATTAAGATATTCATTAGTTGTACCAGGAATTGGAGCATCTATACTATGAGCTTTAGGATTACCACCGGATAGTTCCCATAAAAGAACTCCTAAACTATAAATATCTGACTTCTTATCATATTCGTAAGAATCGTCTTCCAGGAATTTTGGATCAAGATATGGATTCATTTCATTATCGTTCAAATAATCAGATTTTGTACTTTTTGCAATATCAAGTATAATTTTAGCTTCTTTTTTATGTATTACTATATTTTTATAATATAAACTTTGATGATTAATGTCTTTATCATGAAGATATTTTATTCCTTCAGTAATTTGATAAGCCAACTTTATTTTATTATTCCAAGTCAAATTTTCTTGATTTTTAAGATATTGCCGTAAATTTCCACCATTAGCATATTCTGTAATAAGCAAGCATTCATTTGTACTTTCATCTACAAATAAAACAATAAATGGATATTCATTATATAAATATAAATAATAACAATACATTTAATTATATGAGCTCACCTAAACTTATACCTAATATAGGTACAATTCTTAAATATGAATTCAATGTTTTATGCATTTTTAATTCATGAATAAAAGCCTCATTTAATATAATAGTTTTGAGTACAACTAAACATTCTGTTTTTTTCCGAGTAACTTCTAGAATAGTATATCCACTTTTTTCTTTGGATAAATCTTTTTTATCAATAATTTCAGTTAGACGATTATCTTTAATCAAACTAACCAATTCTGATGTCTCATGAATTTTTTTTGGTTGTGCATATAATATCTTTCCTAATTTATTAAAAACTTGATTAATTGATGGCCTTGCATTTGGTTCAGAATCCCAACACGAATTATATAATTTTAAGTATTCGTCAGGTGTATCAGGTACTGGTTCTTCCCTATGTCCACCTATTAAATCATTTTTTAAAAGATTTTCACTAACTTTTCCATCAGCAAAAGGAGGTTTACCGCTAGATATTTCCCACATAAGAACGCCTAAACTATAAATATCTGACTTCTTATCATATTCGTAAGAATCGTCTTCCAGGAGTTTTGGATCAATAAATGAAATTTCAGAATCATTGTTTGCAATATCAAGCTTAATCTTAGCCTCTTCTTGGTGTATTAATATATTTTTAGAGTTTAAATTATAATGAAAAATATCTTTATCATGAAGATATTTAATTCCCTCAGTAATTTGATAAGCATACTTAATTTTATCATCCCAGTTCAATTTTTCTAGGTGATTTTTAAGAAATTGACGTAAATTTCCACTATCAGCATATTGCATAACAAGTAAGTGCTCATTTATACTTTCATCTATAAAAAAGTTAAAATGAGTGTTTATTACAATAAGAAACAAGAATTAATAAATTCAAAATTGCTTACCAAAACTCATACCCAAAATAGGTATTATTCTTAAGCGAAACCCTGGCTTATTTTGCATATTTAATTTATGAATAAAGGCTTTAATGGATTCATCGCTAACCAGTTGGCCATTTTTTAATCTTTTACAAAAGACTAAACCATTTTCTTTCAAAATATATGTTGAAGTCATACTACCAATAGGAGTCTTTGTCGTCAATTCATTCATTTTAATGAATTTAACTAACCTTTTCATAGAATCAATTATATCTGATAGTCTTAAATTGCTACTTTCCGCTTGTTGAGGAATAATTTCTTGAGGCTTAGAATTAGAATAGTCTTTATTATTGTCTGCAGCAAGATATTCTAAACACGCTAAATTTAATGAAGTTAAATTTTTGTCATAATAATAAATTGATGACCATAAGTTCAATAAAGCATTGTGTACTTCATGAATATTAGGGCGTAAATCTGGTTCAGTATTCCAACATTTCTCCATTAAGTTCTTGAAACTTTTTGGTATATTATCTGGAATATGTGGTCTTAATCCAAAACAAATATCAAAAGTTAAACACTGAATAAAATTATTGAAAGGTGATGGGAAATCAGAAGGAGGAATTGTTCCAGTTCCAATAACATGCATAATCATTCCAAATGAATAAATATCACTAGCTTTTATATAAGGTTGGCCAACTAAAATTTCTGGTGCCTTATAAAGATACCACCCACCTTTCTCATCTGTATTTGATAAAGGTAGAGCTTTGCATTCCAAAAAAGTTTCTATTGCACAAAAGCTATTATTAAATACTAATACACTAGATGGATACTTATAATATCTATGAACATATTTAGCATTGTGTAATGATTTTAAATCTTCAGAAAGATAAAGTAGTAAACGCAATTTCATCTCCCAATTTAAACTATCGAACTTATGAGAAATATACTCTGTCAATGACGAAGTGTTTTCATGAAATTGCTTTACAATAAAATAATCATTACTGTCAGGATGTTTAGAGATTCCGTAGAATTGAATTAATAGAGCATATTCTTGAGTATGACAATTCAAATAAATCTTAAGCTATATAATTATAATTATAATAAAAAAATGAACTGTTATTCTTAACAGGTGAATTGAAAAATTCAAAATAAAATAAATTATTAACAACAATTCACCTCATTTAAAATTTCATTAATTTGGTCAACATCATTACCATCCTTCTTTATGATAGTAACTTTAGTTTTAACTCTCTTATATTCTTCGTTCTGTTGATCCCATTTGATTCTTGGTCCATCTTTCCAAATAGCCGAATATACTGTACTTGTCTTATTTTCTGATTTTGTATCTAATATATTTATGTATTCAAGTTTGTCATAAGTAATCCATTCTAGAAAAGTTTGAGGTCTTATAGATTTTAATTGTGCATCTTGAAGAAATTTATCAATTGTTTCATCTCCACTAGTCCAATTTTTAAAATTTTTTTCGCATCGTTTTCGTTCACATGGTTGACACCATTGATAATGGCTTCTTTGCTGTTTACATTCTATACATATACCGTACAAACCTTTTTTCGATTTTTCTTTTTCTAAAAAATGAATAATTTAAATATTAATCATATTTGTATTTCATCAAAGAATACATAATTTTTACTTTGTAATATACCTTTATTTGGTTTCATTATTTCAGAGAATGTATAAAATGAATTTCTTCGAAAAAAGAATTGAAAGTTCGTTATTAAATATTTATGAATATTCACTAAATCGTCATCACGCATAATGCTGCTGATCACAGAAATTACTAATTTGATCTGTTGTAGAACAATCCACAAAATTTTTTGCATGTGCATGGAGCTGTGGTTATGTAGGATAAAGATGTTACTAATAGATTATGCAATATCCGATATATTTTAAAGTCCGAACTCCGAAGTCTTTAATTTGAAATTGATGTCTATTGGCTAATTTGAATAAGTTAACGTCAAACTTTCATAATTTCTTTATTTTTTTAAAGAAAAAAGTGAATAGTTCACAACTTTATTAATCACACCAGTGGTACTGAAATTTTTTTTTAAATTTTAAATCTTTAAAAATTTGTTGTATAAAATATAATGAAAGAGCAATATACACACTTTTATATATCATTTTTGTTCAAGACAGCGCTGTATTTAACATTTGTTATGGCGATCATTTTGATTTTCTGTGTATTTGTACTTAGATGTGATACGAACCCTCGTAAAAAAATAAAAATGTTTTTAAGGTGTTTAATGTATATATTAAAATGATCTTTATTAAACATGAAATTGAACTAAAAATTTAATTTAGACGTTTTTTATTTGAGCAAGTTCGTGCATTATGACCTTCACGATTGCAAACTTCACAAACTTCACACCATCTTAACTTGCTTTTACCTTCTTCTTCTATACCCTCATTTAACTCCAAATCTATTAAACAAAAGAAATGTTAATAAAAAATATAAAATTATAGAATAAATCAAATGAATATACGTACCTATGTTTTGAATTATCTTGTAATGCTTTTCGAAGCTTTTTATATTGATATTCTTCATGATCTTTATAATTAGTATCATTCTCTTTACTGATTTGATCAAATCGCCTTTTTTTACCTTTATAAACTCCATTCATCTTTTGGGCTTTTGACCTTTTATTCTAATGCTAATTGGGTTGCTGATGGTATGAGCGAATTCTGTTATGTCATTTCTTTGTACAGTTTGAGCCACTTCAATTTCCATCTCTTTTCATGTATTTCATACTAAAGCTCTTCCATTCTACCTCTTGCAATGTAGAAATGAATATAAACTAGGAAACGGAAGCCGTTATGGGCCAGGAGCGATAAATTTTGTATCATACCCATCTATTTTTCTATTTTTTTTTATTTTTTTTTGTTTATTGGTGATTTCAGTGACGTGACGAGTGGATTTCGCCACGTGATCTAATGTGATTAACGTTCGCTCCGGGCAATAGAAGGTAAAATTTGAATTCCAATGGAATCTGAATTTAATAAACTAGATGTTTTGCCTGTTGCAATTGCTAAATTAAGTATTTTCTTCACTATTCTAAATCCTCAGTTCTATTCTTTAGATATGAAAAATCACTTGCATATCATATTTAACTAACAAATTCATCATTTGAAATTGCGAAAATTTGATTGCATTGAATTTTTTTCCATAATTAATGTATTTGCATACCAGAATTGCGATATAAGACCAATGTGAAATTTGGCCTTTGGAGATGACAACATTAGTGCAAAAAAAAGTGGCGGCATACCAGGCCACGATTAATTAATGTTAAGCATGACATAGATACTCAATATTATCATATAATACACAAAATGTTCACTTTTCCTGTTAATTTAAAAATGCGCCCAAGATCAGTGATTTTTTCTGCATTAAGACCATGATGAGCTGTTCAATTTCAATTACATATGCATCAAAATTCAAACATATCTCCTGAAAATACACCATTTGGTATGGACGTATGGTAATACATAAATTGGGCTTTCTTTAGCTAGTAGTCATTCAATAGTATGCTTATATTACTATATTTAATACTTTATAGTTAGTACTTGAGAATACGTAAATTGAGATAATTTAGCTATTTGAAAATGTAATGAAGTTTTAATCTAATAATTATCCGCGTAAATATTATTCCAAATACGTTTTTTTATTATCCGTTAATATTAAAATTCCCAAATATCTTGAATTCATTATTACGTTTATAATGATTCTTAACTTTTTTCCAAAGTAGATTAGATTACAAGTTTTAAGTCAATTTTTATACAAGAATCTTTTACTTGTCGAATTATAAATAAAACTTTATCTCAATCTTATCGTCAATGGTTACTGCTTTTCTAAATTTTTAAATGCGCAAACTCAAAACTTGAATGTAACACGAATTGTAAACTTCGAACCAGATGTACCAATCTAGTGAAAACCAGTTTGGAACCTGATCATTTATAATGTATAAAAATGTTGATTTTATTCTTGGGCTGGAATTATGTTATACATAATGTAATAGGTTTATTATTTATTATAAAAAATTCGCATTTGTTTGTGAGAATGAGTGACTTAAAAGTGAATTTAGTTAATAACCGGAAATTAGAAATGAAGAAATTAATGAAGCAATTTCTATGTTTCTTTAAAGAGTGGGAAGATTATCGTTTTCAATAATGATAGGAAAAAGTTCGAAAGAGGGCCGCCAGGCAATTGAGTTTGCATTTAAAAACAACAGTCATATTGTACGTGATATAATACTAAACTAAATGAATTACTACGAAATCCCGACGACCAAATTTTTACAATAAAACATTAATATTTGCGAAGTGCTTTAAAAATTAATTTCTTGCGAAAACTTTACATATTTATAAAAAAAATATTTAATGTTTAATTGTTACAATGTATTATTGAACATTAATAAAAAAAACCAATTTTAAGATATTTTTGCGAAGTATTATCATTACTTGCTAGTCCTTTCGCTCGCTCCGGATAATTACCAAAAAATATTAATTTTTTAAAAATTATCGCATATTAACTAAAAAAAGATTAATTATTACAAAGTATTACAATAATATTACGTCTATAAAAAGCAGTAATACAAAATTAAAAAAAAAAATGTGACAGGACCAGGTAATATGCGAAAAGGTGGCAACCATATGTATATCACATGATTGCTCTTTTTCAGCATTATCTTCTCAAAGAAATTCCAGAGCTTTTAATATTGTTTCAAAGCCGTTGGAGCGATATTTTTTTTAACTCCTTATCAATCTATACAATTATCCTCTGGCTCACTATCCGTTAACAGTTAACTCTTTATTATTTTCACTATCCTCAAATAAAATATCTTCAGTTTATTTGCGGTTGAAAATTATGCAATATGATTTTCGCAATATTTTTATATATTACATATAATATAATATGGACGATCTTAAAAATAATAGATTCATGATTAAATTATAAACTCGTTATTATTTATAATCACAATGTAATATTCTATAAAATAACAGGCCTAAATTTTTTTATAACAACAAAAAATTTTTTTTCTATTCATTTTCAGCTCCCCTTTAAGCTTTAGATTGTGTGCACCATACAAATGGTTCAGCAAGAACCTTTCGCAGATCCTTGGTATTGTCAAGTGTATACTTTTTCAACAATTCAAGCTGAGGCCGTTCAAGTTTGGGTTTGGGCTTAATTTCCGAGATAATGATCTCCTCCCATTCAACTGACAGTTTCCAATGCTGATATGAAATCTTATCGTGAAGCAGCAATTTGAACATGGACCTACATCACATGTGAACATTAAAGAGTGGACGTAAAGTGGAACAAGTTATATATGAGTTTAGGAATTTACATCATGAGTCGTATTTGCATTCTTTTATGGCTCCTCTTGCTCAATGTCAGTGTAAATACTTCTAGAGGAGGCTTTGGAACTATCACATACTGCATCAAGAATCAAACTTTTTTCCCAATTTTGTTTAGCTACATTAGTTAATAATACATACATTAATAGACATGTTTTATTTACCAATTAAACAAATTAGTTGTAGAATATATTTACGGTTGAAGTGCTTGACCTATCATACTTTGGCTGCTAGTACCTCCTCTACTAGATGATCACACTCATCCTCCACATTCTTGCTGGTGGTTTTTGGCCTGTTCACAATAAATTTTTTGAGCTCCTTTATCATTGGGTTGTATTCTATACACACCTTAGTTGAGCCAACCGATCTTTTATCCTGTAGATATAATAAACAGTCATTAAAAAATGCCACATAAATTCAAGGCGACACAAAACTTTACCATTCATTATCCGACCTTTTTTGGAAGAGATAGCTGCTTTCTTCCGCTTTTATCTGGTAGGCATAATATGTTGATATTTTCAATCTGAATATATATGCCGCCTAACGAATGGTAAACGTTGCGAAATGTCATCGTAATAGAGATCCATAACTTTCTGGCAAAAAATTATGCACCTATACCTCTTGGCCTTGTTTTGATTCATTTTTCGGGAAAGCTGAACACTAGATGAAGAGGAAAAAATATCAATTTACTGTGAATGCGAGAATAAATGTAACCAAATACTTACGCAATTTCTGGCTGGAATATAATTCCTTTTCCTCTCTCACATGAGTACTTAATGAAGTTTCGTACCTGTACTGTATAATTAATAGAAGGAAAGGATCAGAGAGTTAATGTTAATATTTTGAATTCACCCTTCAATTTCTTCGTTTTGTACCAATATAATAAGCTCAGTCAATCGCTCTTTTCTATCCTTTTGTCAATCTCAAAAGAGTAATAAATAAACGAAAATGAAATTACATCAAAAAATCTTATGCCTTAATAATTGATATTACGACGAGGAAACTCAGTGGGCACCCTGTCTAGTATTTATCTGACTCAAAGCGAGTTATGTATCAACGAATTACAGTATGCTCTTCTGCACGCAAAAATTACTAACCTTAAACGATTTCTTTAATAAATTTGCCTTCGAGATTTCCCTTGTTAAAGGGTTGTATTTTTTGTTCGATCGCTTTTAAACACTTATTGTACTGGTAGTTATAGACTTTAATAGGGCTAGATGGAATCAACTTTTTGTGATTTCCGCTTTTGTTGTAGACTAGTATATTTGGATCCTAACTTTTGAATATTATACTTTCCAACTCTACCCTAACGGGTCGAGACTTCCAGTGATATGTATGTTCTCAACTGACAACTATTTTACATTAGATACATGAAATGAATAATAATCCAAAAAAATAAAATAACGGAATAGTTTTGCTTTCTTTTCTTTCACGAATAATATCATCCCAATAAGGCTTTAGGCTTTATTTTTCAGATTTTACCTATTGTAGAAACAATATAATGGCAAATTTTTCGTTAATAATATAATGGATAATTTCTAACAAATTCATAAATTTATTAATACTTTCTATTTAAAATTTAAATACATTCTATTAAAGATTCATCCATAACCACGCAACTTAAATAACAAACTAATATTCTTCACAAGTATTATGAACCATCACTACCATCATCATCTTATTTTATGATTTTCTTTCGTTAAAAGTTCTAGTAGGAAATAGATTTTAATTCAATTTCAGACTGAAAAAAAGATATATATTACTCCTAATATAATCATGTTAATGTAACAAAACACAAATAAAATTAAGACTGAGTACATTTCAGTCCAAATGCATAAAGATTGTCTTCTACATAGTGATTAGAATCGATTCTAAAAAAATTAATACTAAATAGTAAAATCGATTCTCAAAAATCGATCTCAACAACTCTTTACATGTAGACCCATTTGGCTCTAAAGCAATTTCCAATGCTCCCTAAGCGCTGAACCGATTTGACGTCAGGCTGGCCGTCTATGAAAAAAATCTTAAAAAAGATTCGATAATCAATTCTTTACTTCTATAACAATACCAGTACTCAATAGCTATTCAGATTTTTTTAAAGTTACCTATTGTTATATCTTTGACGGAGTTTTTCATAATCCGATGCTGACATCTGTTCATCGCCATCAAGACCTTCAGCATCACTTTCAGCATCTGTTGTGGTAAGTCGGAACAATTCAACCGATTTCTTTGTTCAGCTCTTTTATCGATGTTGAGCTTACTTCACATAAATGAGATTACCCAGGATTTTATGTTTTTAATCCTAATTTTTCAGCAAGATCTGAAAAATCTCGTAAATTTGAACTAACGATGCCAGATGCAACAAATTGGAAAGATTCAGCTGCCATTACAAGGCTCTCGCAACATAACTACTGTATATCTTTCTCAGACTCGTCGTGGCCATTAGACTTCAAAAAGAAAAACAGCAATTAGAAAGATAACATAGCAAGCAGAATGATACTTTTATTAAGGACTCGCCGATGATGGATGGAGATTTGGAGGAATGATGATGGTATGAGAAATTTCTTCTGCAGGCCATGGATTATCATCCACGTTTTTTTCTTCGTTTTGGCCTGTTCACTCCCTGTTCACTCATCAAAAGATAGGAAATTTTTTTAGGAGATTCGCGTAAACAGATCCTTATCATATTCTATACTAACTGAGCCATCCGATTTTTTTATCCCGTAGATATAAACAAGAGCCATTAAAAAATGCTCACCATAAAATTCAAGACGATATTTTAATACCAACTAGCCTTTTTTCAAATTGATTTTCGCTTTGATTTGTAGACTAGTTCAGCTGTAACTGTTTCCTCTTCTGTATTTTCGGGATATTACTTTCCAACTCTACCTAACGGGTCAACTCATAATTGTCTTCTGCACTTTGTTCTAATGGATACATTGTTGTTCTGAAGTTTGTCCCTCATCATCTCCAATAGTAGCTTTGATCTATAATTGTAGTTATGAGGATCATCAGCTCTCAGCAACAACTGTAAAGGAGCTTAATGAGGTTGATCATTTGATAATTCATTATTCTTCTACCTATAATTCCATTTCGTCTATATAACAAATTTAAGAAAGACCTTTATTCTTACTTACAGGCTTTTGCTTTTTTCCCACTTTGATTGGTATCAATAGGTGTTACGCACCAGCATCAATGATCGCATCTTCTATTCCATCATCTTCTGCTTCGCTCAGATCATCAGATTCTATTAAACAAATTAAAAATTTTCTTTTTCCTGTTTTCAGATTTATAGGCCGATTTCTGCTTCAAAACTACCATTTCATGATAAAAAAAGGTTAAGCACATAATTAAACATAATAATATAGATGAGTTTAAATGTTTACCGGATTTTATAGTCTCACGCGTGGTGTTAGAAAGTGCCTCGTTGAAATCGTAATGTAAGTAGAGCATTTGATGAATTAAGCTTTGGCATTCGTACCATATGTACCAGATGCTCTTTTTAACGTTTTCATGATAGTAGAACAATTGATCCAGAAGATCTTTACTTTGAACGATTTTGAACTAAAGATCTTTCCGCGATTTTTTGTTGAATCATCTGATGTTGAAGACCTTCCGCGAATTTCATCTGAGACAACCAATACAAACGGGCCAGTACGAGATTGTGATAAAGTTTCGGTATGAGATGTCCTTCCTATATGTGTTATATGTGTGAAAAATCAAAAGTTGGTTGCCTTGATTAATTCAGACGTATCTGAATGAAAAAAAGTGCACCCAGGAGACGCATCTCCCGGGAATTCAGATTCATTCTAGTACTTTCAGCAATTAATAATGGAACTATAACAAAGCACTTTTCTAGACTCATCCAGAAAAAATCAGACGCATCCCAGCTTTTGCTATAGATCCCAAATAAAAAGAATAAAACAATAAACAAAAAAGTTTTCAAACCTCAAATGTATTCAAACATTGTGACGCCAACTAGTCGAGGATGGCGAGAAAAACAAATCTATAACAGGTGCTCATCTTGTTTTCGCGTATACCATACTCCACAAAAATTCCACCGGGTTTCATGTTCTGTTCTCTTTAAAGTAAGCGAGCCTATGTTTCCAACGAGTATTGTTTAATGACGTGCCTCAATTTTGGTGAGAAAACCGATTGATCTGATTAGTTAATCAGTTACGCAACTGATTATTGGCCAAAATAATTCAATCGATCATGTGCCGACATACTTTAGGGGTGTCAAATGCCGGTATTATTTAAATAGTTACGTATTTACAGCTATGATCATTAATTTTCCGGTATGATAATTCATTTACTAATCGTATCGTTCGTACTACTATTAAGATATATACAAAGGATCATAATAAAATTTACAAGCGTCCAACTGATAAATGAAGTCACCCAACTAAAAGCAAAGATAAAAGTTTATAAAACGAAAAATGATTATAATTTATTACTTTTAAATAGTCTGAAATATGATATTTTTTATATTTGTGATAAAGCAGTTAATTGTAATTTACGAACTATATACCGTAATAAAATTGCCGAATTTACTTTATTTTGCTGTATACAAATTTTGATTGATATTTACGCATTTGTGATTGTTATTAAACATGCAAAAGATTACTATCTAAATTTGAATTATGCTAAATTGCCATTTTGATAGAAAAATTTCCGAGACCTGATTATTAGAATTATTTATCATTAATTCTATTTATCAAATTCGTCTTCATCAAATTCATCTATTAAATTGAAATTAGATGGTGAAAACATTATTAATGTAATACAAAAGGTAATATAGAAGAAAATATTGAAGAGAAATATCCTATTAAAATCAGCGATAATTGTTATTTGTTGATTTGCAAGTACTATTATTATTCGATTTTAATTGTTAATCTATCATAGTTGTTATCAAATCGTAACATCAATATTAAAAATATTAAGTTAATAATTAAATTACTATTATGATTAGCATGTCCATTCGTACCTGTATATTATTAATCGTAACTTACCTTTTATACAATAATACCGTAATACTTTACTGTATACTCATTAAGACAGACAAAATTTTCCGATTCATAAAAAAATATGGGCAAGTTAAACCTTTCGCCCATCAAATTAGTTAAGGCCGAAGTTCCACTTGATTGAGATGATTGTGAATCTCTCCTAGTAGAATTTGGGTTCACGACAATTTCGACAGTCTTCCCGCAATCCGGAAATGGACATGTGCCGGGTTTGATAAAAAGAAGTTGCTTCTCGATGCACGACCTGTGAAAAATATGCCCACATGACAGTATTGTAAGTGCTTTGAGAGGGAGTACCAGAATATTGTTCGTACATTCAGAACATGGCTCTAGCTCCAAAATTTCTTTATCCCCAACAATATCATCCTCAAGATACTTCAAGATATTATAAGCAAGATTCCTATGATTAGCAAGAGATGGACGAGATCTCTCTGGGACCTGGAAAGATTCTGGAGCTTTAGTTGACTCTGAGCTCAACATATTGGGACTTTTCCCTCAACTAGGTTCGAAAAAAATATACTGACCTCATTTATAGCATTATTAAAATTTCGCGGGAGAAAACATTCCCCAGATTTTTACCAGCAATTATGCACTGCATTTCGTCATTCCATCAATCCTCTTGCAAATTGATAAAAATGACGAAGGATGAGCATACACATCCCCAAATCTCATATGCGAAATAATGATTGCTGGAAAAAATAGCCATACCTGAATATTGTTTTGTTAGTATGATAGTAGCGTGCCTGGAGACATGACGCAAAAAATAAAGTCGAAAAAAATAATGCGAATATATGCGATTCGCACGTCGCACAGCCCCTATTCTTTGGCAATAATTTTGCCAGCGTATTTCAGGTGATCGGTTCACATAACGAAGTTTCCTCTACTGCGGATAATATATAAGCGACCCACATGTTTCGAAAAAAAATAATAATTCGAGTATTCTAGGCGGTCACCGGAGAGATGATCGGACTCGTCATTGGTGAGACTTTTCTTTCATATCTTCCATTACGATAATAATATCCTTTATCTTCGTAATGATATCCTTCATTATGTGTGTCATCATCTTCATAATAATCTCCTTCATTATACCATACTCCAACCTCAGTTTTCGGTGGATTTTTTCCAGGACATAATCTCAGAAATTTCAGTCACATGATCTGTTACCAGAGGTAATTTTTCCGAAAATATTTAAAAAACATAATATGGGCAAACTTTATTAATATTTACCACAGTGGACATAAACAAAATTAGTGATAGCATATGCATAAACTTTACTATTTATTAATGTCTTAACATTTGTAATTATATTTCTAAAAAAAAAATACATGCTTGATTTATAAAAGAAAGTCTAGTAACTTTAGATAAGTAAAAAAAAAAAATCACAATTTCAAATTATATATTGAAAAATTGTAGCAAGACTATTAATATTCAACTAAACACATATGTGACTTCTGTAGCGTCATACTGCCCTTTCTTGGGAATTTCTATAAGAAATACCCGTCCGACGTCTGGCATCCCATTGACCGGTCTAGCCAATTACCATTTGCAGAATTAACATAGGTTACAAGCGCACCAACTGCATTGGTCATCGCCTGTTTCGCTGGTAACCCTGCTGTATCAACGAAGCCGAAAGCACAGTCAGATGGATTCGTGACTGAAGGGAAAGGTGCATATCCTACAAGACTAATAAAAAAAAAATAAAAAAAAATACTTAAAAAGAATTAGTAATGTAATATTATATAAACATATTGTTTACTAGAAGTATTTTTGTGTGAGCTTGATTAGCAACACTTCTTGCAACAAGTCCAACTTCGTCCCATTCAACCAACAACAACGGGTCTTCATTATCAACACTTCTTTGTTTTTTTCCATTTGCAAATCATTTTTTTGGAATTTTCACTTAATTCAATATCTATCAAGACAAGCAAACAACATATTATAATCAAAGGTATAATAAAGAGAAGCTTGTAAAATAATATTACCAACCATTTTGCTTTGGCGCAGATATTTTCTCAAATAATTTTTTTAAAACTTTTGACATTTTTTCTAAATAGAAAGGAGAGTAAAAACGAAAAAAATTTTTACAGATCATATTATATTATATATAATATATTAAAATGATTCAAATGATTCAGACTTTTAAGTACGATGGTTGATAATCTATTGCGCTAGTAACATAGCAATAATTTGAGCCATGAAATTTTTACAAATCCCATCATGATAATAATTGGCTAATTATCACGTATCGCCGATCTGACATTTATTATATTGCATGGATCTATCACATTATCAACCACATTGTATCATAGGTGTAACCGTGAAGATTCTTAACTGATCAAAATGATGAAATTAAAATTTAAGGAATTATAATTTTGATTTTATTAGAATTTTAGAACAACCATCAGTAGAATAAGATCTTTCTGGTAACTCCTCTTTTTACATCAATCATTCAATCAAGCTCAAATATATTTTTTGTAAAGTGTGTGAATATCGTGCAGAGATTATTACTTAGTATATTATTTTGCATTATGCAAGTTTAAGGGACGAAAATTCGGCCAGCATTAAAAAAAAAAAGGAAAATTTAACGTGTCTTAACTGGCTAAAAGAAGGACAATTTCTTTAATAATACATAAAATGATCACGCGACAATTTGCTGCTGTCCCTTACCTTTGAAAGAAAACTTGTTAAAACGTGCAAGCTAATAACCTAATTCTAATTGTTCTAGGGTCATACGCACAGGTCCTGCACATGAGCTATTACATATATGATATATCTAGCTGATAGTCATTCGGGAGCATACGAAATAGTGAAAGTGAAATATAATAATGAAAGAATTATTACGTAAAGCCATGCCGGTAAGATTGATTAATGACTTAAAATAAGCAAAATTTCGGTTCACCTATTTTCATAGTGATATTCAAATTCCATTAAGCAAAATACTGTATTCAATATACTGTATTTACGATTTGTCGTAAATTTTTTCAAATAAGGGCAAGCAAAAATGACACAAGCTTTAAATTTTAAAAATTTCAAATAAATTAATTAAAACTTCTCTGTAGTGTTGTACAAATATCCAATCGAACGGGAATTAAAGAAATTTTTTTTTCTATTTGTAAAATTTTTTAATTTTTTTTAATGAATGAAGAAATTAAAATATATTGTAGATATAATTATGGTTAAATAGTATTTTTTAAAAAAATTAGCTGGCAAAATTTTTTATAAGTTCAAATGCCAAAAAAAAAAAAAATGTTTATGATGCATGATCGTATTACAAAAAAATAAATTTTTTATTATTAAATTCAAATTTATCCTTGATGTACAGAAGGCATTAAACTTTTTTTGGATTAGCAAAAATAATAATTATGTTGTAATTAATTATTTAATAGATGTAAAATATATGTAAAGTGGTGTTACCTTAATTCATTCTCCTGATTGCCTTTAAATTATGCATAACGAAAAAAAAATAAAAATGATTTTTATTAAGAAAGATTCATATTATCTTTGATCGATCAAATAAGAATTAAATATTATAAGAAAATGATCATAAAAAAGGAGTTAACTGGATCAAAAAAATTATCATTATTAAGTAAAAAAAATCAAAGTCCTATCATAATTCAATAATAATTCGTTAAATTATTTTTCTCTTCTGAAAAGAAAAAATTAATTCAACCATTCGGATGAAATTATTATCCTTTTACTTTAATCATATTAAATCATATTAAACCATATTAAATCATTTAAATCATTTAAATCATATTAAATCATATTAAATCATTAATGCTTGTTAAATTACTCATTCTAATATGCGTAGAAAAAAAGGGATTATGATTATGTAAAAATAAATAATGAAATACAGAAAAATGATGTTAGATACATTCATAGATCATTACACGTGAACATTCGATCGGATATTACGTATTTAATTCTGTGAAGTAATTTACTTATTATATAATCAGCATCTTCCTGATTTAGGTAGTAATAATTATATTATATAATTATATAATTATATAATTGCATTTCTGAAATTTCTAGATGTGAAAAATCATATCCTAAAATACTCCTTGTCAGCACAGTAAGTAGAATAAGTAGAATAAGTAGAATATCAAATTGTCCAATTGTTTAAAAAAATTTACATGATTCTCGAAGACGATCTATTAATAAATTTTAATTAACGTTAAAAATACTTATGTTAAAAAATTAAAATACGTTAAAATATGCTGAAATCTCTAAAAATAAAAATAATATATATATTTCGAATTCATTTCATTCAATCCGAAAAGTATTTTATCAAATTTGATATTTACAATATAATATATTAAGTATGTATTCATTAACGAAAAATTCTGAAAAATTCTGAAAAATTCTGCAATAAGTGATTACCATGACATCACGTGTAGTACCTGTAGTACCTGTAGTACCTGTAATACCGTAATACCTGTACAATTATATTATAATACCAAATTAGGTCAATATCTTCTCCCGTAAGATGTACAGAAATCGGATAAACTTTTTACCCGAAAGAATATAACAACGAAACAATGAATAGAAATGTTATCCCGATAATTTTCAACTGTTTCAAAATATATTGTATTAACTATATTTAGTTAATTTTTATCCATACTTCATCTATCAAGTCGATGAAATCTTGATTAGTTAATCAACTCTTTTATCTACTCCCCACTCGGAATAAAAGCCTTTTTTGGAAGAATGGGTGAAGGTGAACTCTAAATAAGGTAATACACTAATTTGAATGTTGACAAAACATATTTTAAATAATAACCAGTTTAAGTAAGTGTTATGAGACTACGAGACTTAATAAAGTTAATATTATTTATATTATGTAATAGTTGTTTTTTTTAACTTCGAATTGTTTTTTTTTTAAAAAAAAAAAAGAGAAAATGAAAAAGAAAAAAAAAAATGCACTAATTAATGCTCAATTAATGTTCAATTAATTTTTTTTTTAATAAAAAAAAAAAAGATTTCTTTTAACGATAAAAAAAATTTTCTTTCGAATTAAAAATTTTTAGTTAACATTTGATAATTTATTTTACAGGCCAATAATAAAAAAAAAATCAGATAATAATTTTTTTTGACATTGTTTTATAAAGTGATACATATATTTTAAAGAATATATTTTAATTAATTAGGATTTACAAAATTGATCATTATATAGTTTGCATATTATGATACAAAGGAGGTTCTTTTAATAATAGTAATGTTGCATTATGAAAAAAAGAAAGAAAAAAAGAAATTCCCAAAACCCTCCTCTAATCCCGTAATCCCACATTAATTAAAGAATTCGATAAAAGAATTACGCATTTCATGATGTTCAAAGAAAAAAAAAAGAAAAGTACAAAGTTAAAACACATGATCAGAATAATATTAAATTTTTTCTTTGTATATTTTATATTATTATTCCTTTCAATAAAGAAAATAATACTTTATGAATTTGATTATTGTATTTTATTTTATTATTTGATATATACAAAATAGTTCAGGACATGAAATATTTTTGAATATTTTTTTTTTTTTTTTTTCCAAATTCTTTCTAATTGATGCGAGGGGGAAAAAAAAAATGTGGAATAAAGAATTTTATTATAATTAATGTTAAGAAAAACAAAATTTTAAACTTAATGGTTTAATTACAATGTTATGCCAGATTAAATTATTCGCATTTCGGAAATCAAAATGGATGGAGCAAAGTTTAATTGCACAATAAATTTTATTGTAGATCAAATTTAGCGTGAAACAAATTAATTAATTAAAAAAAAAAAATATACTTTTTCGAAAGATATAAATAATCCCAAGATTTTATCATCAAATACACTCATCCTCATCTTAACAAAAATAAAATATATATTCAATATATATAACATATTTAGAGCTGTGCTCTCACAATCCTTTATATTATTAGATTATTATTAAATTCTAATTAATTTCCTCTACTTAAAATCTCAACCATTTTCATTCTTTTTAATCAATTAATCAAGCAATCATGAAGTTATCATTAGTTCTTCCGATTTGTTTGTCATTTGTTATCATTTCTCAAGCTGCTCCTATGAATTTTGATAAAAGACGTTTTGGTGTAGAACATACTCCTGAAGCTGACGCTACTTTTCAAGAAGTAAAAGATTTAGCTCAAGGTTCTGATAAAGAAGCACAAGCTGGTAATTTATCAGGTGCTATGGTAAGGGCTCTCTTAGCAAAGGCTCCAGCTTGCGATCAACAAGATAGAGCAGATGAAATAATTGACCTTGGTAAAGAATTTGGAGGTAAAAAATTGGATCAATTTATTGCAGTCGCAAAAACATATCGTCAACTTGAACGAAATACTCCTAAGGCAGGCCAACCATCTGAGCTTTGTGATAAAAAACCAAGGAATAAAGAACTTGAAGGATTAACTCAAGCTCAAGATCCAACCGGTAAAGTAGAAGACCCTAAAGAAGTAGAAGATCCAGAAAAAGAAGACCCAGAAAAAGAAGACCCAGAAAAAGAAGACCCAGAAAAAGAAGATCCTGAAAAAGAAGACCCAGAAAAAGAGGACCCAGAAAAAGAAGATCCTGGAACCAATGTTGCAGAGACAGATCCTGTTGGGGGAGTTAAAATGCCAAAGATCGAAAAGAAAAATGATGATTTCATTGTTAATGGAAATGGGTTTAATGGTAATTTGGATGCTGCACATAGCCGTCAATGTGATGTTCAAAAAAATCTATGCTTCAACAAATTCAATGGTGGTGATAAAAGCTTCAGTGGTCAAGATTGTGAAGACCAAGTCAACAAATGCAAAGAAGGTCCTCCAGTATTTGCATAATATATATAAATATACATATTATATAACAAAAATATGAATAGACAAAATAGTTAATTATAGAATAGTTAATTATTACTGTAATGAATTTTTATTTTTCTTGTCTTTAAATTTAAATATATAGTATATATTTAAAAATGCGAAAATAATGAAATACCTTTTTTATTTACAGACAAATCTGTATTAGAATTAGTTTTTTTTTATACAATAAATAAAAGGTGTGGGGTTTAATAGAATTAAAGTGAAATTCACTTTTTTTAATACTAAAAATTAATATAAATTTATCGTAAATTATCGTAAAAAATTTTTTTCTATTTTACAACATTTATAATATAAAGAATCCGAATATGATAAAATAAATATGCACGAGTATCTGCTATCATAATTACGTTATATTAAACGTAAAAAAAAGTGTTTGTTTAAACACAATATGTTGCGTAATCTTATAACACGAGATAGTCATGTGAATTTCGATTTGCTAATAACTGTGATGATAATTTAACAATGTTGATTTATCTAAAAACTTGAAAAATAATTTGCATATAAATGTTACAGTAGTATTAACTAGGGATTGGAATCGAAAATCGAATCTTTTCAAGATTTCTCTTATAGACGACCAATCTGACTTTGAATCAGTTTCTAATTTCAGCAAAAATAATCAGCAATTGGCCGGCATGAAAAATTACTTTGGAGTCAGGTTAACTTATATGTAAAAAATTGCTGAGAATCGATTCTCGAGAATCGATTTTACTATGGATGGTTTGTCGATTTTCGATTAATCGATTCCAACCCCTAAGTATAACCCGGTTAACGTTTTTGAATTTCGTGAATTTCGGACATTTTTAGTGCAGAATTACATTTGAAAGGTTTTTAACATAATAAAATATTTTTTAAAAAAAACGCGTATTGACCCTTGATTGAGTTGATTGAGTATAGTAATTACGTATTTGCAGTTGAAAGTCTGCTTCAAGATTTATTTTACTTTTAATAAATAACGAAAATGATAATTATTAATTATCGGAATTTATAAGTTAAAGTATAAGAGAACTTGTTTCAAAAGTAAATAATAAAATAAATGATTTATTCTTTATCGTTTTAGATTACATTACTATATTTTACTATGATTTTATATGAAATGAATTATTTAATTTACTGTATAAACTACGAATTTTGCTGTTTAAAGATATATATCTCATTTTCTAATAAATAATACTATATATCTAGAAAATAAGTATGAACGAAACTTAACGAAGAAATTAGTCGTTGATAAAAATTTTCATTTATTGATTGTATGATGGTATATCCGGTCGCGTGTATGCATCAAGTGATGCTATAATATTTGTATCGTAAAGTTGTCTGACTTCTAAACACAGATTCATGAATTCATATCGATCTGCTGCTCTCAAGATAGCTGCAGCCAATACACTTTGCAACATTCCAACAACTTTAATATCTTCATCTTTTGCTATTAATCCCAAGACAGTCTTAAGAAGTATAAAACAAGTTGGTGGAGACTTTCGATGTGAAACATTATACAACCGATTAAATAAATCATTTGCACTAAATTTGTGATTGAAAAATTCTTTGCGTTCAAATTTACTAATTAACATTATCAGTCTTTCACTAGGAGGTTTTGTATTAATTGTATACAACCAAGTCTACCTTCCCAGTCTACTTTATATTGATTTTTTATGAAATCTTTTACTAGTTTATCTATATTTCGATTCAATTGTAACATTTGTTGATTAACAAAGTTTTTGTATGATATCAAAAGTAGTACCTTTATCATGTTTCTTAATTATTATTTGAATTAACAGTTAAATTATTAATAAATGAATTATTAATATTGTTGACTGCTGACTCAAATGAGTCCGTTGATGAAGTATAAGGGTATTTCGCCGATTCCATCTAAAACCATTTCGCCGAGGCCATTTCTCCGAAGGGATATTTCACCGAAGGGGTATTTCGCCGAAAGGACGTTAACTGACAGGTGATTTTCATGTTCCATTATATTGAAAGAAATAGTTTATAAGTTTGTAAACATGAACTAGTACTTTTAGGTCCAATCATATTTGGTATATTATCTATCAATAAATCTTGATTCATATCTGAAAATTCTTTGCTAATTTCCATTGTCGTTACATTCTCTTCGTTAGTATCAATAAATGATGTATCATCTCGTTTAAAAGAAATTGTTTGAAAGTTTTGAAACAACTTCTCGTATATCTGGACGTTCATTAGGTTCACCTTTCCAACATTCTAATTAAAAATAATTAATTTTGAAATAAAAATATTTACAAAAATATATGTTAACTTACTTGTATACAAGTAACTATAATCAATAGGAGTATCATCAATAATTTTTTCTCTATCACCTTTTTTGTATAGCTAACATTAAACTTGTATCATATTTTATACCTTCGTCATAGAATGGTCGACGCCCACTTGAAATCTGCCACATAATAACTCCAATGCTATATATATCAGATTTTTTTATTTAATACATAATTTTTACTTTGATCATTAATATTATATTTGATTATTGAAACATTTTGGATCAATATATTAAAGGTATTACACCAAACATTTTTGATGTGATACTTGATGATGTTTCAGCAATTTAAATCAAAAATTAATACAAATCATTAATCTAAATTTTTTAAAATATATATATCAGATATATTATTCACGATTTAAAAAAAAAATATTTACCAGATCACGATGAATAATATCACTTTCATGCAAACATAATATAGCATTTGAAAACTGTAATTCTAATTCAAGTTTATCATCCCATAAAATGCTCCTTAAATAAGTTTTTAATGTACCACTATTAGCATATTCTAAGACCAGAATATAACCGCTCGTTTGATCTGAAGCAAAAAAAAAAAAAAAAATTTAAATTTAAATTTAAATATTAAAAATTCAATTTATAATAAATAAATATAATATATTGATATACTTTTATTCTTACCGATTTTTGTCTTTGTAATTCCACAAAATTTTATAATATTTTCATGAAAATTAACATCTTATATATAATTTTAACTATGATATAGAAAAAAATAAATAAATAAAAGAATATAGATATTAACTTTTTTTTTTAAAAAAAAAATAATTGTAAAATTTTATACTTCATTAACAACTTCCTTAAAAGAGTCGATGCTTGAATTATTAAAATGCTTGAATTATTAAAAGATTTTAAAGCCAAAACATTATTCGTTCCTTTCCAATTAGTACGATAAACACTACCAAATGAACCATTTCCTATCCGATCTATAATTTTAGAAGTATAACATTTTATATAATTATCGGAGATTGATTTTTCTAGCCAATTAACGTAATAACTTGAATCTAATATTATTCGAAAAATTAAAATTGACAATCATTTTTATATGTTTAGTTATAATCGGAGGAAGTTATAATTTCAAATTTCAAATTTCAATTTAGAACTATAATCAAAATGAGCTGTTTATCTAACCGATTCAGGTTACTTTCCACCGAGATAAATAATAATACAAATAATAATACAGTCATTAATTCGTAAATGGGTTTTGTATATAAGCAAACTTAAATACCTGATTAACTTTTTACATACTGTATTTATGCTAATTAACTAAAATTTAATAAAGATTTGGAACTTTATAAAACAATTATTTACAGGAAGAGATTTACTAAAATAACAAGTTTACTGAACCCTTAAAATAACCCATAAAAAAATTCTACAACGAAATGAGATAAAAAAAAATACAAATATCAAAAAAATTACGTTCCATATTATTAATTGACCACGATTTTTGCAAACATGCCATTATCACAACTAAAAATATCAAAAGTTCATTTCTTTTAGCATTTAATTATTTATATTTACTAAATTAAAAAAAAAAGAGGAAGGGCATCTATGTTACATTTGAAAAAGAGTTCACTACCTAAAAGAGTGTGTGGCGTTTTAGGAAGAATTTGTCCCTCTTTATTACCTCTCAGATTAATTTCCGCTTTAAAAAAGAAGAAAAAAATTTTTAATATCGAAAATATTATGAAAAATAAATAAATAAAATGTAACTCACGATTATCAACGTTATCACAACTTCCGAAAGGTCCATCATTGTATGAGTATGATTTACTTGCCATTCTTTTATTTTTTTTTTTAAAAAAAAAAAATAAAAAAAAAAAGAAATGTTGTTTAAAATGAATTTCTTTTAAAAATTATTGCGTAAAATGATAACAACAAACATACACCAAACAACTGTTTGTTTCTTAGATATTGTAAGACAATCTGGATCATAAACGCTTACAGTCGCTATAGGTTGTGAAGTGACAGTGGCTGGCGAATTACATGTAATAGTTTGCGCCAATACTTGCAAGGTAAAAAATGTGAGTGCGAGCATTGATAATAAAACGCAAATATTTTTTTCCATTTTTTTTATTTTATTTGATAAATTTCTTGGTATTAGGTCTCAAAGACGTATTTATATATAATAATCAAGATTATAGATATCCTATCGCAAAATTCCGCGACATATTAACTAAGCCTTTTGGTTAATAGTTTTAAAGATAACTGATGTGAAATGTTGATAAGATCAAGAAAATACAAGTATAATATACAATATATGGTAATAAATTTGTTTTCGTAATAATTCCAGATATTAATTTAATTACGAAGCAAAATTTTCATTGATACGATTATCAAATTTTAAACACGTAAAACTATAATTGGCAAAAATAATTAATAAAAATAAACTTTCTGCAATACGAACAATACAACTAGATAGTTCTAATTTTCGAAGTTCAAAGCATGAACTGGTTTGTTAATTAATAATTCTTTATCATTTTGATTAAGGAGTTAACCTATTTACCGTATATAGGTTTATTTATTCTGTTTATTGTCATGTAATGCCTGTACACTAGTGTGATCACAAGAAAATCTGTTGAATTACTACTATTTACATTTCATAGAACAAGAAAGAAATTAACGTTCCTTTTTTTATACGTGATGCATATAACGATGTCTTTATATGCAAGAATATGTTATGTTATCTTATGCTTTTATTTGATCTAACAACAATAAACTCGATGTTCGTGATAGCAATATTTTTCAAAGAAACTTGTCCCATAGTTTAATCAAACACCTGAATTGTGCGAGAAAGTAAAAAAATGTACTGATAAATATATACAGAGGGCGATCAGAATTATCCGGCCACTTTTCAAGTTGAAAAAATTTATATATATATAATATAGCAATAATAAAAATTTAAGTTAAACAAATTCATTATGTCTTTGTTTACTAATTCAGATAAAATTTTAATAATAAATTCTATCTCCATTTGCAAAAATAACTCCCCAATTCACAGAAATATGCTATTGATAGATTTTTTATAATATTCTGGAGGAATACCTTTCAATGCAACTTTAACATAGTACGTTTCAAGTAGTTTTATCAGAAAATTTAATAAGGTATGCAAGCATAATGTTGAAAAAGTATTATGCCATTATATTACATATTAATTACAGGTATTATGCAAATGTAATACTATGTAAATTATAAATTTTTCAAGTTTGCGAAATTCGCGAATTTTAAAATTTAAAATTGTATGTTAAGGTTATTTTGAGATCTAGTGATTGAAATTTTGAAATTTTTGGTTCATCAGATTCGTCTCATTGAGAGGATTTGAATGGTAATAATTTAATGTTTGTAGGATCGATATTCATCACATGATTACGCTCTAAAAGCCTAAATGTCATCTGCGATATTTTCTGATCCTGTGGTTAAAATTTTACGATTTATAGCTCTTTTGATCCGTCTCATTGAGACGATTCGAATGGCGGTAAGCACAGGTCGATCAGATCGATATTGGCGAAATTATGATATTTTTAATATTTTTAAGTTTGTTTACACAAAATTGTAAAATTTATAAAATTCATACAATAGGGTGACTTCATATTTTCGAAAAATATGAAGCATTGGAATTTGTTTATTGTGATTATAAATACAAAATTATATCTTATTTATATTACATTAACACATCATGATCAACAAAATTTTAGCAAAATAAACTGGCCGGATAATTTTGATCACCCTCTGTAAATGGTATATAAATGGTTATAAAGAAAAAATTATATCATTACTACTTCCGCGGGTATTTTACATTATAATTTTTAGAACTATCCAATAAATCAGAAAATCAGAATAAATTTAATAATCTGCCGAAGGGACCAAAATAATTTATATAAATTACCGTATTTTTCCAATATTAAGTCCCAGCACCAGCTGAGAAGCCTAAGAGTAAAACATGCGAGGAACCATCAAGGTTGAAAGACCCTGAGTCACGTGATACACCAGATCTATTCATGCACTCGTTTGACCGACATCATCTTTGTAATTCGAATATAAATCACTTGAAGGGCGCTAAAACGTAAAGCACACGCTATGAAAATTAACGTTGAAAAGTGTTAGAAATAAACTCTTTTTCACATAGACTAACAAGACTCAGAACTGAAAAAATGACGCAATTACACTTTGAATAACTTATTTTGTAGAGGACATAGTAGAAATATGTAATTCTGTCCTAGATTTGGAGCAAAAATGGATTAATCCAACATCAGCGGGCAATTGTGAATCTCATGAAATTATTATGCGTTAAACCACACGAAGAGCTTGTTCATTGGAAAGCTATTGAATAATTAATTTTTGTTACTCTAAAGTCCAAACACGTAGAATATTATATTTATATATGCTAGCAATATATTTTCGTCTACGCTTGTTTTATGTCGTGTCTATCAGTGTATACGTACTTTTTGACTCAAACTATCAAATTTTAAGATGAAATTCGTTGCTCATGCGTAAAATATTCGGAATCTGAAGAATCCCAACTTGTATGTAGAGGTCATTAAAATATATTGATACGTTCTGTATATGATACTTTAAACCTCTCACTACAAGCACTTAGTAAAAAATAATTATACTACGCTGCTATGCAACATCGGGCATCATTTTTTTAAGTTTACGCCATAAAAAACAAATATCATCACTTGACATTAAATTTTGTCTATTGTTACGCAATTTTTGTAAAAGAAATAAACCTATAATTTATTTTAAATATTCGCGTAAAATAAATCTTCTATTTGAGTGGAAAAAATAGATAAGAATAACTAAAAATCTAATCTAAATTTTTGACAAAGCTTATTTAAATCAACTAAATCAATTTGACAGGAATTACTTTCTTCGCTTCCTTTAGAATAAGGAACAGTAGATGCCTTATTGTTTTCAGGATCAATACTATTAAGTGCTGATATTTACTTGGGAAAATTTTGGTCGTTTATCCAGTTCTTCCCAACATTCTATTCAAATAGATTGAAATTAGATTGAAAAAACAACAAAAAAAAATAAAGATTGCACTAGATCAAAAGGAATTATTACTCCGAATTAATTTTGCATTTACTTTGATAAAGCCCAATAAATTTAATATTCGTTCTTCTCTCGTATTTTTAACGTAATATGATCATCATCAAGACCGTCAAAAGGCGATTTACGATTTGTTAACTCCCAGAATAAGACACCCAAACTATATATATCAGATTTTGATCGATCATTTTAGGATCCACATAAGAAATCAAACCCCATACTTCAGTATTACAATCCGACCCTTTTAGACATGATCACATGAACGACCAAAGTCTGCTAATTTTATTTCATTCTTACGTATTAAAGATACAGTATTATTGGGATGCTAAAAAAAGAAGGCGTTAGTTACGCATTATGGTGAATAAAACATTACGAACATACTGTACTTATAAGAACCCATGTACGATTCCTTTATCATCAATGTAACCATAAAATAACACTTGCAACCTTAATTGGTTCTTCCATCCAATACTAGTATTGTTTCTTAAATAATATCTTAGTGTTCCACCGTCTGCATATTCAAAGAACAAGTGAATACTGCGTGATGCATTTTATGCACCCCCAGCATAATTTTTTTTGTGTGCATGGGGATTATAATTTTATAAAATTTATTTGTCGGATATTTGTGATCTTTTATCTACGATCACGTCATTTACGTGTTTTAATAAGCTTATAAGCTCTCCTTGTTTTTCTTTTCTCTCATTTACTGTATTATTTACGGCTTTAACAATGTCAATGAGTGATATTGAATCTATGTCCAGTGACTGATAGTGACATGTAAAGTCGAATTGAGACACTCGAATTATTTGAAATAAGTTTTATGAAAATTTTTTCAATATATAATTCCAATCGAATACATATATTTATTTATTTATATTTTTTTCGGTGGCATTACTATCTAATAATATAATAAGCGGGTTTCATGTGTCAGGCTTCTTCCAACTCAAAAGATCGATCTAAGTTATATGATTTAATTGATCCAATATCTGATGTCTTTCCTGCTCTCATTGTTTAGATGCGCTCGCTGTGATCTCTTCTTTGTCAAATCAAAGAAATCAGTTTGTTAACAAATCTCTATCTTCAAGATTTAGATAAACAATGTGTATTATGCATAGAATCAATATTTTATACTTTGTATAAAACAACATAATCATTTATTAAATAATTGCTATTTTGTTCTTAAGTATAGTAAAAACCTGATCATTTAGTAATTTTATTAACTGTAAAAAATCATGGATGATTTATATTTATATTTTAATAGATTTTTCTTATCGATGCTTATTCATTAGTTTTATGAGCCGTAACGCTAGATCAAAGATCACTTTGATCAAATTAATATACTGAATCTAATATCAACCTGATTCTTACAATCAATTAAAATCATTTCAAACTGAACTCCAGTTATTACACTTTCCACTAGATTCTTTTTCATCACTATAAATTATGTCAAATATATTGTATCTATATGCATAATTTAGTGTTTTTTATTAATGATATAAAATTAAATAATAATATTTATTTCTTGGATTTCTTTTTACGGCTGACTCTACCATTTTTTGCCTTTCGTTTTTCTTTTAATTTTCTCTGTTTATAAATTTGATCTGCCGTTTTTAATTCATTATTAAATTTCTTTTTAATTGATAAATTATAATTCTTTTCCTGATCATTCGGATCACCAGCTTTTGATGTTTTCTTGAGCTTCTTTTCATAATCTTTAGATAAAGGATCCAAAGGTTTAGGTGCTGTAATTTTATTATGTCGAAATTGTTTCACATTTATATTTATATTAGGAAGTTCCTTTTCTCCCATACGTGGGATTTGAAGTTTATTTTGTTGTTGCCACTCTTTAAATCTAAAATGAAAAATATATATTATTACTTTTAGAATCGAGTTAAGAATCTAAATCTGTTTGAATTAAAATTTACCTTCCACTCTTATATGTAGCGGGAATTTTAATTCCACTTTCAGTGGTAATAAGTTTTTTATTATCTGACCCTATATTATTTCCTCTCACAAAATTTTTCTTTTTACTGTCCCATCTCAAAGCTTTAGCTTTATTATTTTGTGGAATATGTTCATCGGCTTGAGTTTCTATTAAAGCTTTCTTGGATTCTTGAGCAAATGACACGCCTTGATTTACAGAATATCTACAATCAAAACGAGTATATTCTTATTCAAGTGCAATCTAAAAATTCAACAACTTTTTTTTAAAAAAAAAAATAATTGGTTTACCCTTTTTCAGTATTTGCATCTTTTTGAAAATGGGGAATATAGAATTCATCATCACGGAATCGATCATTCTTTTGTTTTTTGGCTACATCATAAAGCAGATATTAGTTCTTTATAAACTTATCAAATTAGAGAAGACGAATTTACCAAAGCATACAATGCATAATACGTACAAATTCCGAAATTATCATTATTGGATTTCCTCTTTTTGGAATCTTTAATAACGGTTTCCTATTAAAAAATGATATAAGTATATATTATATAATATTGTTATTTAAAAACGAAACCAATTTGAGATGAATTCTTACATCTTTTTTTTCATCATCCGAATTGGATAATTCAATAGAATTTGCATTCTCGTTCAATGTTTTATTTGGGATAGGCTTATGCGCTTCAATTAATTTTGAAACATTTTCTCGCCGTTGTCTCATAAATTGCGCTGTTTTCTTGTTTCCTCGATTCCCGATTTCAAATACAGTCTATAACAAAATAATTAATGTTAAATATCCGTTAAAACAGTTACTCATTTAAATTGAAATAAATAAATAAATTTATTCACCTCATGCGGCCTGAAACTAGAAATCGAACTAATTAAATTTTGTCGGTCCTTTTCTTTTTCATCAATCTTGTCAGCTGAAAATCAAAGAAAAAAGTGGATTAATGTTAAATTATAGAGGGGAAAAAAAAAGTAAATAATTTAAAAAAAATGAGGATCGATACTAACCAAAAAGAAAATGCACATCGGTATAGTTCTCTGATGCCATAATCTCCTTGGCTCTTTTATAACTTTCCGAAGATGCTGACAATCTGGATTTGCAATATTGCTTATAACCATTCTTTGCAACGTTATTAAGCGCTTCAATATTACTCACTTCTGTGAGTTTGCCTTTAACCCACTCCAAATCCATGTCCAATGCATCAGTAGGGAAACAGCCCATAATAATGTCAGAAGTATAATCTGGTTGTGAACTTGCTGTTGACCCTATCATCAAACGACGACCGAGAAACAGCTGGAGATCTAGTAAATAAGGAAGCTGCGATTTTTTATTAAAATGAAAAAAAAAATTTAATTATCTTTCATTTGTAATAAATACCTCTTCAGGAATTATTAATGAATATGCCCAACCTCTCCTACCAGCTCTTGCCGTTCGACCAACTCTATGAACAAAAATTTTACTACTACAAACAAAGTCATAATTTATTACATTCTCCAATATTGGAATGTCTATACCGCGAGCAGCAACATCTGTAACAACTAATAAACTAGATTGACCGGTTCGGAAATTATTTATCTGTATTTTTCGTGCTGTCTGATCAAGTGAGCCATAAATATATGAAGTTTGATATCCAGCTATATTCAATAGACTTGTTATATATTCAACATGGTGTTTTGTCGATACAAATATTATAGTTTGATGAGAATGCAATTCATTAAAAGTATTTTTCGACTTTTTTTTATTCGATTTCGACTTGACATCATCACTCGTGGGATTTAAATTGAGTGGCACTTTGATAATCTCTTTTAGAATATATAACAAAGCAGCTTCCTTTTCCAATTGCTTTACAGAAAAGAAGGCCATCTAAATCGTTTAATTTTCTTGATTAATTCGTGGATTAAAAGATAACAATTAAAAGCTAATCTTGTTAAAAGACAAAAGTTATACCTCTAAATCAGCGCTAATCTTGGAATCTACGTCCAATCTTACTAAAGTTGGATCTTGTAAACCAGCTTTTGCAAATTCAACAAGCGACTGAGGCAAAGTTGCAGAAAAAAGCATAGTCTGTCTTGATTGAGGTAATCTATGCAACATTTCATGCAATTGGGCTGAAAATCCCAGTTCGAATAATCTTGCAAAATAAAAATGTGGTCAATTTAATAGCATAAAAATTGGTTAACTTAATAATAAAATAATAAAAGTAACATAATATTATTCGGAAAATCTACCTATCAGCTTCATCAAAAACGATATATTCAACACTTTTGAGTTCTATGTCCATTTCAATTATCAAATGAAGTAGACGTCCTGGGGTTGCGATAACACTAACATTAACAGTTAGAATAGGTTTATTTGAACAATATTTAAATTATGACAATTACATACATATCGGGATTTCCTGCAATCATCGCAAATTGATCTTCTAAATTATCACCACCAACTACTAAGCAAGATCTCAGATCGGTATATTTAGCAAGTTCTTTACAAACTTTTTGTGTCTGGAGTGCTAGTTCACGTGATGGTGATAATATAATTGCACGCGCACCTACCTAAAATTGTATTAATTGTAGTAAAATTATAACATCGTATTAATTTTATTATTATAATTTGCTTACTTTAGCAGAATGGCCTTTTAACTTTTCTAACATCGGTATCAGAAATGCTGCAGTTTTTCCAGATCCTGTTCGTGCCATTGCTACAACATCATTCCCTTCCATAATAAGTGGAATTGTCTTGCGTTGAATAGGTGTTGGAACTTTAAAACCCTTATGCAATATTGCTTTAAATACTGGATAACTTAATCCTATAGATATAATCAAGAAAAAAATTAAAGTTTCCGATCAAAAAAACTTGTTTGTATATAAAACGAGTAAAATAATTTATACCCATTGATTGAAACCCGCCAGATTTTTTCTTTTTCCTATTCTTTGCTTGAAGTTGTTTAGAAATGAAAGCTGCTTCTTCCTCAAACGCCTCGTCTTCGTCGCCCTTGGTCAATGAGGAAAAAATATCCACGTTATCATCATTGTCTTTTTCTTTTTCAGATTCTGCTCGTTTTGACATCGAATCTTTGCTGAATTTTACTTCCATTCTTTAAAAAGATCGAAATTTTTTTAATTGAGCAAAAAAATTTTTACGATAATCATGAACAGCTGATGGTTACATCAACCAATTATTTGCGCAGATTCTATAATTAGAGTACCGACTTTCCGTTGATCTTTTTGATAACTTAATTTTTCTGAGAAAAACATTAAAAATTATCTTATTCCTATATTATTTAATATCGGTTCAGTCTGAATAATGTCAAAACAACGAAAAGTAGTTGTCGCATTAGATCCTTCTTCTGAAGAGGCTTCATATACTATAGATTGGATAGTTGATAATTTCCTTATACCTAAACGAGACGAAGTGCATTTAATTTCAGCGTTATGTCTAAATTCTGACTTCGACGTAACTGAATTAGGTACGTATTTGAGAATAAGTTTCGTATTTTATACTAATAAAGAAAATATTAACCCGATCTTTTGACAATTTTTAATATTTTAATACTTTTTTTTTCGGATCGATTCATTAATTTAGGAATGAACGTAAATTATGCAGCTGAATATGCCGCAAATTTGGAAAAAGAAGTATATTCCATTTCATTAATATATTCTTTTATTTTACTACTTAATAATTCTACTTAATAATTATTAATTTTTTGATTTTTATTTATACTTGGAGGTAGAACAAAAGACTAATGATGCAATGCAACCTTTCGCTAAAAAGTTAGAAACAGCAAATGTACAAAAATATTCAGAATAACTAAAATAAATAACTATAAATAACTCTGGATAGTTAATATATATATTTACAATCTTTTTATTTTTATCTTTTTTTATTTTCATTTTTATTAATTAGATTAAATGTGAGGTCGAATTAATAAAATCGAATGCTGATTCTCGAAATATAGTCGTAGATTATACTGAAAAAGAGAAGGCTGACGTTCTTATAATGGGAAGTAGAGACTTGTCAGTATGGAAAAGGTTCGCAGGTTTATTTTCTTTTGAACTTTTTTAAATATATTGATTTATACATATATGTATACGTATATGTATTATATAGGTTATTTTTAGGAAGTTTTTCCGATTTCTGTCAACACAACGCACATTGTCCAGTATTAATTGTGAAGGGACCTCGGAAATCATCTTTGTAATTTAACTAACTAAATAAATGTAAATCAGGACTGCGTTCAAGTTATTATTCCAAATCACAAGATTGACATTTAAACAATGAATTCTTTTGTATCTTATCTTTATCAATAAAATTAAAATTATAAGGTACAGTGGTACACAACACAACAAATGCGTAAAATGCATAAAGTCGATCCTGACAACATAATAACATATAATAACTAGCCCGCCCGTTATGAGTTTTTAATTCTAAATAAGTATTTTGTATATTACATATAGTAAACTGGCGGTTTTTGTTAATCCTGATTAATTTCCTGTTTGGGCGTTTGCATTTAAATTTGGATGAAAATCAATAATATAAATATCAAAATTTTTACACCGAAAAAAAATTTTAAAAAATTTTTTTTTTTCCATTTCAAAAAATTTTTTTCATGTCTCTAAAAATTTTTTTCTTGTCGTCTCATATTATAACATTTTTAATTTTTACAAATGCATGCTTCTAATCCAAATTCTCCTATTGATGACGACGAACATTTTGAGTTTATTGACTATACCGCTGCTTCACAATGGGAGCGATTCATAACAACTGTCGAAGAAGTTTTAAATGGGTGGGGTGTTAATGATGGTCAACTTGGAATATTTGACGATTCAAAGTTGCCCCCTCTTGGCGACAAACCTTCTATAAAAACGGTCGAAGGAATTGATCCTTTTGTAAAACGAGAGATAATAATTCTCGACGATAATTCTTATACTTTATCATATCATTATCATCCTATAAAAAGGTGGAATGAATTTACAAGTCGTTCTTCTTCCGTAAGTTCCACTTCAGAACTTCAACCTCCACCAACTACTACTACCCTTTTCCCTCCAAATCCTGACCCATTTTTACCTAGTTCAGAATTCCTTCCTATTACTCTACCAAGTACTTCATTAGACTCAACTTCGATAAATTTAAACAAAATTCATCGATGGACGGGTCTAACTCATATTTTGGTATTGACGCCAACAGATATTTTTTCATCCGGATCTATTTCAAATTTTACAAGTTTAGATCTTAATACTACAAAGATGTTATTATCTTCATTTGCAATTGCGTTTCATAATACGAAATGTAAGCTTCCAGTTTATGTTCCAACTGGTCAAGTTGCAAATTCTTTATATGCTGGTTACATGTGTTTATACAATAAATATGCGAAAAATGTTATTGATGCTGGTGAAGTTGAGATAAGATTTAATACTACATATGTTCGTGATGTTCCATCCCGTTTTTCACATTTAGCAGGTTTGACCGAATTTTTTATTGAAAAAATGGATTTAAATCAAATTCCTTTAGGTAAGTGTTAGTTTAGTAATTTTTCATTTTCACAAATATTACCGTCCAAACATCAATTGGATATGCAATTTGTTCTCAAGTTATTCGTGAAACTTGTTATAAAAATACGACACAAAAATTCAACCTAGATCTGACACACATATCGTTTTGATCGGATTCGGTTACACAGATCAAGTTGATGTTCCAGAATTAGACAAAATGCCGCACCTTGGAATTGTCGTATCCGGGTTATTCACATATGAATTGCAAAATTTGGATGATCAAGATTGGAAAGACTTTGATGATAATGACTTTCCTTCGAGTAGAATAAATGAAGATATCTTTAAAGAATTTGAAGGACAGAATGGAGGAATGTTTGGAAATGGAACAATATTTGAAAATGGAACGTTGAAAGATCCACCCGGATTTTCTCAGGAGTTTACTTCAACAGTTGCTTCAGCGTCAAATTTACCTTTCGGTCCGCAAAATGATCAACTTCAATCGTTGTTGCTCACTGCTTTTTTTCCTTCTGCTCCGAGGGACTCATATTTGGATAATGACGTATATTCAGAAATGGATGCCGTACGAGCTCCCATCTGGATTTTGGGATGTAACTTTTACCCTGAAAATCAGCAAAATCAATCACACGCGTCGCTTTCAAACATGTTGAATAATGCTATATTCTCTTTCAACATTAACTGTGCCAATGATCTGGCTGAAAAATCAAATAATTTAAAAGGCAAGATTCGGAATAAGGTTTTTAGAAAAAGTCAGGTTACTGATATACCGGGAACATTCAAATTTGATGATTTAGCTAGTGATGCGGCACGATTCTCTAGATCGACAGTTGGTGGAATCGTTGATATGGACGATGTAGATATTGATGAAATTCTTCGTCGTCTATTCCATCCGTTAAGTAGTAAAACATTTCCAAGTAATGCCGAACGGATTAACACGTTGAGTGGGATTCCTTTATTATCAGCATCATCATTAGGTCATCATTTTTGCGTCAGAACCGTTCCTTATAAATCATTTTTATGGAATCTTCTTGAATATTTATTGGAAACCGTTTCACGTATGAATAGTTCTAGTGATTCATTTTTGGGATTTTTGAAAATTTTATGGAACGAAATCATTAGAGAAATTCGTTCACATTGGGAACGATTTGAGCCTTTACCTGACGTGAATATTTATATGTCAGAAGATGAGAATATATCCTCTGTTATTAATCAAAATGGTTCATTATCAATAGATGATAATAAAGTGAAGGATCCTATAGTTGAAATGACCAATTCTCATAATATTGGCATAGACATGAAGTACAATATAATTCATCAAAAATTGTGCATGATTAATTGTTGTGTTACACGCATTCGACAAGATCAAAAGTATAACCCAATTCTGTCCACAAGTCCAAAAAATCAAGTATCATCGAGTAATTCTTTAGGTTCTTCTGATTTTATGTTAAATAATAAAATAAGTAAAAATTCTCTGATGGAACAAAAGCAAACGACTTCAGATCCATTTGTTCGGTTATTTGATCATATAACTGGGGAAGATACACCAGAAGCTTCAGTGATTTTAGTACCTCCAGTAAATTCAAATGGTGCTAGCGCTTCTGATGTTATCGCTTTGGACGAAAAAGAAATAAAATCTCCTAATGTAAGAAAGTTAATAAATATAACTCTTGAATCTTGTTTTTAATTTATTTCGTTGAGCTGGTTGTGACGATTTAATGTTTTTATTAGCATATTCATTCAGCAAGTGTTGGAGAATTGGAAGAAGAAGAATTCTTTGATGCAATTGAGGAAGCAACAACAACTCCTTTAGGAATACCGAACAAGAAAAATCCAAATCGACCGGTTTCTCAACATCGTCGTTCGCCTTCTTCATTGTCTCATATTCACTCTAATTCCCCAACAACTTCTTTATTTTCTGAACAATCGGATCAATTTATTCAACTTAATTATTCATCCAGTATGGATTCAAATCAAGGATTTGAATTTGCGGGTCAAAATGCAAGCAGAATGTCCTTTGATGATAGATTTGATAAAGAACTTAAGGATGAAAATGAGAGAGAAGGACATTCATACCATTTTAATAATCTTAAATTATTAAAAACTGGTGAGCCATTACTAGTACCAGAAACCCAGGTATATAAATTTTTTTTTTTTTGATCGTAGCTTAAATAATAATGACATTAATTTAACCTTACTCTATAGGATATGGGATTTATGACCGAAGATATGATACGTGAACAAGAGGAACTGTTCGAGAATTTAGGTTCTTCAGAAGATGCAACTAAAATAAGAGCCCAATTACAGTCTGTCCACTTGAAATCTGGTAAGTTACATACACATATATATATTATTTATATAATATGATTAATTTAATAATTTGCATCTAGATATGCAAGCCTTCAAAGCTGCAAATCCACATGCTATATTAGAAGACTTTGTTCGATGGTATTCACCGCGTGATTGGATTTCTGACGAGAGTGGAGATCCAAACAAGGGAACTCTTAGTCCAAGAATGAAAGAGAAAGGAAATCTTTGGCAAGAATTGTGGAGGGTAATTATCCTTATTATGTTTTAAGTTCTTTATTGGAAATAATATATAATTAAAGTAACATGTATTCTTCGTAGTCATCTAAAAGAATTCCGGCAAGAAGACAGAAACCATTGTTCAAGTATACTCGTGAAGCAGAAAAGGTAAATAATGAACTTTTTAGTGAATTGAAAATTAATTTTTTTCTAAAGAGTAAATTTATTCTTTAGGCACTTCATTATTTGGAACAATTATCGGTTAAGGATCTATTTAAAGAGTTAGTAATTTTTTTATCATTATAGTGTAAGTTAATTGAATAATATAACTAATTTATCCCGTAATTGCATAGACTTTTACCTACTATATTCCTTATCGCGTATGACACATTAGTCTCTAGATCTGTTTCCAAAAACATTAAGCCTGTAACATCTGGCTTAGCAGCTTTGGCACAAGAGCTGATTGACTTTCCATGGAATGAAATAGGGTACAAAATATTAAAAATTAAAATTATCATGATTGAATTTGAATTTACATGCTAAATATTATATAACTCATAACGGTAAATCAACATTTTTTAAGATCTAAAAATATTGTATGTGATGGATTAATACAATCGTTTAGACGGAACGAAATGCTTATCGGTAAAGCGATTTCTCTTTTGCGAAAGGTATTTAAACCACCATTACCATTTCCATCAGATGCCTTTTTAAACCGATCTTACTAATAAATCGGTTCATATTTATTTTTAGTTACCGAAACAATATGACTTAGTAGAAAGATTATTAGAAATTCCAGAAACACAAGTTTCAGATGGAGACGAACGTCAAGCAGTTTATGAATTATTTGCTTCTGGAGGTTTGTAATCAAATTTAATCATCACTTATATTTAGTATGTCTTTTTAATTTTTAACCTTTTTTTTATTTTTTTTTTTGAATAAAGCACCACTTAATGATTCGTTCCCACATCCGACAACACGTGAATTTGTATTGCAAACAACGTGTCTACGGCCAACCCCAGTTCCAACGAGGATGTACGTTTCGTTAGATAATACTGGAATGAGAATCGTAGATATGGTTGGAAAAGACACTATATTTATGTAAAAAAAGAGACGAAAAAGAAAAATGAAAAAAAAAATTTATAAATCGATATAATAAAATATATAAAAATGTTGTTATTTCTTACTCTTCCTCCCCCCACAAAAGTAATAATATTATTAATGGCGATTATTTTTATTTTTTATAAGGAGGAAAAAAATATACATATAGATATTTGGGGACTAAAAGTAATTAATAAGACATTTTATTTTTGTAGAGGCTAGATATTTACAATTGATTGTTTATCAAAAAAAGTAAAAAAATTTATTTAAACTTTAAAAGATTAAAATTTAATACTGAATCTGGATAATTCAATATGGATTGTATCTTATTTTATTGTGAAAATTATAAAATAAGTGGCTCAAAGTCCACTAATTAAAGATAATAAAAAGAAAATATTAAGCCGGTTCTAGAATCAATCCATAAAAAACCAAAATGAACTTTTAGCATGTAACTTGTTAAAATCATATATCTTAATTCACCTGATGTTAAAATATAATTGCTTTATTAATTAGTTAATAAGTCATTACATAATCAATAATGATTATAATAATTATACTATGTTGAATTGTGCATGCATGGTTTGCAATTATTATACAGGAGACCTTAGACTAAAGGATTTTTCAGCAATAGACCATGCTCGCGGCCTCGAAAGTAAATATAAATGCTTCTAGTAATTTTATATATACTTCGCAATTTCTGAATCCCTAAAGTCTTATCAATAGGTTCATGAAGAAAACTACCGTAAATTACAAGTTTCAATATATCCTATGGAATTCAAATTAGACTAACTATTAAAAGAGATTGTTTAAATTTCAGTTCCCAAAAAAATGAACCTCGTTTTTCAGACTAATATAAATCCAGAAATTTGGATAGAATATCAAAACATAAAAACTGCTGTAGATCAGATCGACCTTATCTATCAGTTTTTTTTTTTTATAATTTTTAAAATTTATCGTAGAAATGTTGAAAAATACTTTGTTAAATTTTCGAAAACAACTAAAATTTCGAACGAATTATTTCATTATAAAAGATATTTTTATAATGAATAAGCGTCAAAATTGTTTAGTAAAGAATTTTTATAAAAATATGTATTGTCATTCAACATGGACAATATTTAATTCAATTGAAAAGTTCAAAATTCGGCCAACATATAATAACAAAATTTCTCATTTAAGGATACAAAATACGCGCTGGGAAAGTACAAATCATCATCATAACAAGATCATAACAGCAGCATCAGCAGCAGCAGCTCCACAAGTTCAATCTTTGGACAACAAAGATAACAAAAATATCAAAAAACCTGTCATTGATTTCACATCCCATGCTCACAGTCAAATTAATTCACTGAATCCTCCTTCATTAACATTTTCTAGATTAATAAGGGTTTATAGAGATCTCGCAAAAGCAAGACTTGCAGCTCTTGTAATATTAACAACAATGTGTGGGTATGCTATGGCTCCGATGGCAACTGATCTCACATGTCTTTTTGCTACAACAGCAGGCACAGGATTATGTATAGCTTCAGCAAATACATTTAATCAATTGATGGAAGCACCATATGATGCACAAATGTCACGAACGAGGAATCGTGTTCTTGTACGTAAGGTAATTTCTCCTTTACATGCAGCTTCTTTCGGAACGATAACTGGAATATTGGGAGTTGGGATATTATCTGCTATGGTAAATCCTTTAACAGCCATTTTAGGTGCGTCCAATATTGTATTATATACTTGTATTTATACTCCAATGAAGCGTGTTTCTATTGTAAATACATGGATTGGATCTATTGTTGGTGCAATTCCTCCAATGATGGGTTGGGCAGCTTGTACAAATAGTTTGGATCTTGGTGCATGGGTATTAGGTTCAATTCTATATGCATGGCAATTTCCTCATTTTAATTCTCTTGCTTGGAATATGCGTTATGATTATACCAAAGCTGGATATCACATGATGGTCAATGCAAACCCTGCTTTAAATAGTCGTGTTTCTTTAAGATATAGTTTATTGTTATTTCCTTTATGTTATATTATTCCTTATATTGAAATGACAACTTGGTGGTTCGCATTAGATTCGACCATAATCAATAGTGGACTTTTATTAGGTGCATTTAGATTTTGGAAAAATTCTAATGACAAAACTGCAAGGGATTTATTTTTTGGGAGTCTCATACATTTACCTGTAATATTGGCATTAATGATGGCTCATAAAAAGAATTGGAGAACAGATAATCAAAAATATGATTTAGAAGATATTTCAGACACTGAATTGAAAAACATTACGAAATAAATTAATTATAATTCCTTCTTTAATTAATTATTTTAAATCTCATATATTGAATTTTATTGGTCCTTTGGTAGGTTTGTTGTAGTGTGTACAAACAGAACTTAAGCCATATTATCTTTTACACATTAACAATTTCATTTACATTAAACATTAAAAAAATAATAATTTTGAAATTTTTTAAAATTTCTAAAGGATGATGAAATTTAATGTAATGTCTTGACTTTTGTAGATTTGAAATTACCACCCATATCTAAATTTAAAATTTCCCAATTATACTTTTACCGATCTATATGATTATTAAAGTAATAACAATTGATCGAACTCACTACTATTACGTTATTTTTTTTTATGATATAAAAGATTAATGTTCGCCGTACACTAAGAAATTGATTCTTTTTGTTTGAATTATTGATGTTGGAAATCGGTTAAAACGTCGTATAAATATCAATTATCAAAAATATTCTTAAAATTCGTCCCAAACGCCATCAACAACCTCTAAGTTATGATCTCTCTTCTTCATCAGAGAGCTCAATGCATTGACAACACCTAGCTCACGCTTCATTCATTATATGATAAATGTAATTTTCAACTTATTAGTATTCGAAAACAAAATACATTGTACATAAAAAACATAAAAAAAAGTATTAAGAGTATTAATGAACAATAATATATTTTAAAATTTCAAAAATATATCATGTGGCTATTTTTGCAAAGTCTTTAAAGTCCTTGAAATTATTCCCAGTTCATAGTTCATAGAGCTCCTTTAATTCTTCTGCGCATTTCAGACTAAGGACTGTCAAAGATAAAGAACGATAGCACCTCTTTTAATTAGAAATTGAAGCAACAACATTCACTTCAATGCCCAGTATGAGATCCCTGGACTAGGTTTCTGTTCCTTTGTTCGTTTTGCTGTTATAAACGAAATGATATTACATAATTATGATGTAAATTAAATTTGATGTTACATACTGCGTCAATTATAAAATAAAATTTTCTCGAGCCACTAGTTTCTATATAGCTTTACAATTATGTCGGAAAAAGCTAATAGTAAAGGTAAAAGAGTAATAAGAGATGAAGGTACGGAATTTACTGTTTGATTCGTTATTTTTGTTAATTTATAATTAACCTTGACCGATTTTAAAATATTTAGGTACCAGCGAAGATAAAATAGGTAAGTTATTTAATACAATAAATTATTAAACTACAAAATTTAAGTATTACCTAGTAAGTCAATTATATTTTAACTACCTTTTTTCTTAATAAATGATTATATCATAGAAGGTAAGTTATCCAATTCTGCTTGTATTTTTTTAAACATTATTTGTTTTTTTTTCCTAATGAATGATAATATTATAATTTACTAAATTTATTTAATTTAGAGCGTAAGTTATTTAATTTTAATAATTTTAATTGTATTTTTCATATGGCTTTATAATTTAAATTCAAATTCATTTTACTAAATCTATTTTATTTATTATAGAGGGTAAGTTATTTAATTTTAATTAGTATATTTATTTTCATGTGATCTATAATTTAAATTATTTGTTTTAATTTATTATATTAGCATGTAAGTATTTAATTTTATTATAATTTTATATTATTTTCTTTATAATTTAAGTTTGATCAATTTAATTATAATATTTTATTTAAATTTAATTATTAGCATATATAAGTGAAAAGAATAGTCAAGAAATGAATATTAATACAGGAGAAAATATAGAGAAAAAAAATAATAGAATAAAGAAAAGGAAAAGAAAAACAAAACCAGGAAGTTTTAAATTTTATTCAATAAATTCAATGAATAAATTAGAACAGAAGAAAAAAAGAATTAATACATGTAAGTATTTAATTTTATAATTTTATTATATATTATTTTTATTATTTTATAATTTTAAATTTAATTAATTGCAAATTTTTATTTTTAATATATTATAGATAATAAGATAAGTAAGTTATTTAATTTTATAATTTTATTATATATTATTTTATAATTTAAATTTAATTAATTGCAAATCTTTATTTTTAATATTATAGATAGTAAGATAAATAAGTTATTTAATTTTATAATTTTATTATATATTATTTTATAATTTAAATTTAATTAATTGCAAATCTTTATTTTTAATATATTACAGATGGTAAATTATTTAATTTTATTATATTATATTAATTTAACCAAGTTTTATTAAACAAAATTTCATTTTTAATATATTACAGATAGTAAGACAGATGGTAAGTTATTCAATTTTATTATATTTTTTATATTTTTTTTAATTAACTATAAATTTTTATTTAAAAATTTTAATTATTAGAATGTAAGTATTTTTATAATTTATTTTTAAAAGCAATAATATTTTATTATAAAAAGTTAGTTATTTATAATATATAAAATTTTTTATTTTTCATATATTACAGATGGTAAATTATTTAATTTTGTTATATTTTTTATATTATTATTATTTTTTAATTAACTATAAATTTTTATTTAAAAATTTTAATTATTAGAACGTAAGTATTTACAATTTAATTTAATATTTTATCTAAAGAATTTTTCTAACTATCACCAGGGGGTAATGATCACTGGTAACTGAAATTATAACAATTAACCAGCATTAAAAAAATATAGTGCTGGTAAAAATTAATAATTTTAGCCAATGATGATGATTACCCTTGGTGATTTAAAGTAAAAACCTCATCTAAATATTTTAATTATTAACAATAAATATTTAATTTAATTATTAGAATGTAAGTATTTTTTACAATTTATTTTTATAAATGATATATAAAATTTTTTTCTATTTAATTTAAAAATGTTTAATATATTACAGATAGTAAGTTATTTAATTTTATAATTTTATTATATATTATTTTATAATTTAAATTTAATTAATTGCAAATCTTTATTTTGATATATTACAGTTGGTAAGTTATTTAATTTTATTATGTTTTTTATATTATTTTTTAATTAACTATAAATTTTTATTTAAAAATTTTAATTATTAGAACGTGAGTATTTAATTTTATTATAATTTACTAATTATAATATTTTATCTAAAAATTTTAATTATTAATATAAATATTTAATTTTATATTTTTAATTTTAAAATTTAATTATTAGCATGTAAGTATTTTTTATAATTTATTTTTATAGTAAGCATATTTTATTATAAAAAACTTATTTTATGATAAAATTTAATTATTAGCACGTAAGTACTATTTAATTTTATTATAATTTAATTATAATTAATGGATATTGTACAGTGTTGTATTTATATTACAAAGTGACATTAACCAATATAAATATCACCGTACAATATTTATGTTATCGTATGGCTAATGCAGATCATACTTGAATAAACTATTAATGTTCGATATTGTACGCAAATAAACTATCGATATTCAATATTGTACACAAATAAACTATTGATATCAATATTGTACGATAATGAAAATATCGGACAAATAAAATCAGCATGATCCTATAGGGCTGTGCGATAATATTTAATATAAAAATTTTAATTATTAATATTATTAATATACAAATATTTAATTTATAATATTTTATTTAAAATTTAATTATTAGCATGTAAGTATCTTTACAATTTATTTTATAGAAAGTAGTATTTTATTATAGAAAACTTATTTTCTATTTAACTTTGAAAATTTTTAATTTTTAATATATTACAGTTGGTAAGTTATTTAATTTTGTTATATTTTTTATATTATTTTTTAATTAACTATAAATTTTTATTTAAAAACTTTAATTATTAGAACGTGAGTATTTAATTTTATTATAATTTAATTTCCAAATATTTTAATTATTAACAATAAGTATTTAATTTAATTATTAGAATGTAAGTATTTTTTACAATTTATTTTTATAAAAAGAAAAGCAGTATTTTATTATAAAAAACTTATTTTATAAAATTTTTAATATATTACAGATGGTAAATTATTTAATTTTATAATTTTATTATATATTATTTTATAATTTAAATTTAATTAATTGCAAATTTTTATTTTTAATATATTACAGTTGGTAAGTTATTTAATTCTATTATATTTTTTATATTATTTTTTAATTAACTATAAATTTTTATTTAAAAATTTTAATTATTAGAACGTAAGTATTTAATTTTATTATCTAAAAATTTTAATTATTAATTATTAATATATAAATATTTTATTTAAATTTAATTATTAGCATGTAAGTATTTTTTACAATTTATTTTTATAAAAAGCAGTATTTTATTATAAAAAGCTTACTTTATAATATATAAAATTTTTTATTTTTAATATATTACAGTTGGTAAGTTATTTAATTTTATTATATTTTTTATATTATTTTTTAATTAACTATAAAATTTTTATTTAAAATTTTAATTATTAGTATGTAAGTATTTTTTATAATTTATTTTTAAAAAACAATATTAATTTATTATAGAAAACTTATTTTATAATAAATTTTATTTAAAAATTTTAATTATTAGCACGTAAGTATTTAATTTTATTATAATATTTAATCTAAAATTTTAATTATCAATATATAAATATTTAATTTTATATTTTTAATTTTAAAATTTAATTATTAGCATGTAAGTATTTTTTATAATTTACTTTTTATAGAAAGCAGTATTTTATTACAAAAAACTTATTTTATAATAAATTTTTATTTAAAAATTTAATTATTAGCACGTAAGTATTTAATTTTATTATAATTTAATTATATTTAATCTAAAAATTTTAATTATTAATATTATTAATACATAAATATTTAAAATTTAATTTTAATTATAAAATTTTTTATTTTTAATTATTACAGTTGGTAAGTTATTTAATTTTATTATATTTTTTATATTATTTTAATTTTTAATTAACTATAAATCTTTATTTAAAAATTTTAATTATTAGAATGTAAGTATTTAATTTTATTATATTTTTTTATATTATTTTTTATTTTTTAATTAACTATAAATCTTTATTTAAAAAATTTAATTATTTAGTATGTAAGTATTTTTTACAATTATTTTTATAAAAAACAGTATTTATTATAAAAACTTATTTTATAATATATAAAATCTTTTCTCCTATTTAACTTAAAAATTGTTAATTTTTATTTTAATATATTACAGTTAGTAAGTTATTTAATTTTATAATTTTATTATATATTATTTTATAAATTAAATTTAATTAATTGCAAATCTTTATTTTTAATATATAGATAATAGTAAGTTATTTTTTATATATTATTTTATAATTTAAATTTAATTAATTGTAAATCTTTATTTTTAATATATTACAGTTGGTAAGTTATTTAATTTTATTACATATCTGATATTATTTATAATTTAATTTAATTAATTGCAAATCTTTATTTTTAATATATTATAATTTATAGATGGTAAGTTATTTAATTTTATAATTTATTATATATTATTTTATAATTTTATAATTTAAATTTAATTAACTTAATTGTAAATTTTATTTTAATATATCAGATATTATTATGGATAGTAAGTTATTTAATTAATTAATTTTATTATGATATTTTTATGTTTATTTTATAATTTAAATTTAATTAATTGCAAAATCTTTATTTTAATATATTACAGATGGTAAATATTTTTTATATATTATTTTATAATTTAAATTTAATTAATTTAATTATAAATTTTATAAATTTTATTTTAATATATTATTACAGATAGTAAGTTATTTAATTTTATTATAACTGATAATATTTTTATATTGTTTTGTAATTTAAATTTAATCAATTTAATTTTTCATAAGGTTTATCACAATATAATTTTGGTTTATTTTGTCAAAAAATTAAAAATGAAATTAATGCATTTAAATATTTTGAAAAATCAGCTAAGCAGGAACATAATGATGCACAAAATTATTTAGGATATTATTATGAAAATGGAATAGGAATACAAAAAGATTTGGAAAAAGCTTTTTATTGGTATCAAAAATCAGCAGAAAATGGAAATAAATTGGCACAATATAATCTAATTTCATATTATTTAAATGGATGGAAAATTGATGAAAAATTGGTTGAACAAGAAATTGAACAAAAAAATGATAAAATGCAATATAAATTAGGATATTTTTATGAAATACAAAATGATTTAAAAAAATCATTTTATTGGTATCAAAAATCGGCAGAAAATAATAATAAATTTGCACAATATAATTTAGGTTTGTATTATCAAAATGGATGGGGAATTGAAAAAACTGATGAAATTGAAGCATTTAAATGGTATGAAAAATCAGCTAAACAAGATAATAGTGATGCACAAAATTATTTGGGATTTCTTTATAAAAATGGTATAAATATACAAATAGATTTAGAAAAATCATTTTATTGGTATCAAAAATCAGCAGAAAATGGTAATAAAATTGCACAATATAATTTAAGTAATTTTTATAGATATGGATTGGAAATTGAAAAAAATGAGATTAAAGCAAAGGAATGGTATGAAAAATTAGCTGGTTCAAATAATAAGTTTTTTATTGAAAACAATGAATTAATAAATACATATAATATAGATAGTAATATTAATGATAATAATAATAATCTTTTTAATAATATTCAATTTGATGAACCTATTATTAATGCAAATTGTGAAGCTAATTCAGAGTTTATTACAGTAAAAGCAACTATTTTTCCTGGAATTTCTGATACTTCATATTCTGAAGCAGAAAAATTGCAAAAATTACTTATCAGCCGAAAAGATGATATTGATCATATACTAGAATTACAACCTGTATATGCCATAGGAGCTGATTTTCAAAAAAATTCTACTAGACCATGCATTACCTGTTGGGTTGCTAAATCACTTGATATTACAGTTTTGGAATGTCTTGAAACTATATTTGAAGATCAGTTTGAGGTTATATACAAAATAGTAGTACCTTTAAATATAAATGAAAATAATAATCAGAATTTAAACACCAGTAATTATTTTGCTAATAATGAAGAAAACTTAAAGGATGAAGATGGTAATGATAGTAATAATGGCAATAGTAATGGTGGTGGTAGTGGTAGCAATAATCGTCAAAATGGCAACAACAATAATAATAATGGTAATAATAGCAATAACAATACCGGTAATAGTGGTAATATTATTAGTAATAATGATAGTGATGATAGTGGTAATAATAATTATGGTGGTGATGATGATGATGATGGTGATGGTGATGATAATAATAGTGGTAAAAAAAAAGTAGATAGAATCTACATTTCATCAAAAGTAAATGCCGAAGTTATTAATTCTGAATTTTTGCAAGATTTTAACATTTCTGCTAATCTTTGGGCAGAAATTATTCCTTTTGAGGAGGATATCAAGATTTTAGAATATGACGTTGATGTAAATGTTTGTGGAGTTGGAGATATGCTTAGTAATCAATGTTCATTATTTAATGGGAAAGGCCTCGGTTACTTACTTCATTCTGTCGAAGTTCATATTTCTCCATTACCTAATAATGGAAATAATTTGTTTGGATTGAAAGGTACTTCACAACCAAGACAAATAAATCGAAATATTGAAATTTCAAAGGGTAATGAAAAGAGCTATGAAGGAAAGGTTGGAATATCAAAAACGCCAGGTGTAGATTTTACAGGTGGATATAAAAAAAGTAATAATATTCAATATTCATCAAATGAGTGAAAATTATTTTATAAAGGTCCTAATACTAAAGGAGAGCGTTGGTTATATCAATATATTGACAATAATCTTGATAAAGATGGTAGTCATAGGGAAAATTTCGTTCCTGGAGTTCATTCCAGTCAGTGGTTTATTTATGAAGGGATGCATGGATTTTGTATTACTATTACTCAAGTATTACGTTGTGAGATCACTTGTGGTTGGCGCAGATTCCTTCCAAATACGAAAACTTTATTGCAGAAGTTTCCTATAATGGCTCACAATCTTAAAGTAACTTTTAATGATCTAGAAAACTTTAATTGCAAATTAAAGAATTTGAACAAAACGTGTTATTATAATAGTGATGATATTGGCGTTATTATTGGAAGTAATGAAAATGAAAATAAAATAGTTAATAAACCACAAAATATTCAGAATTTGGTTGGGAAGATTGACCGTTCATTGGAATTAAAATAATCAATTACTAAGAAGTATTATATTTTTATTATCAGTTGAATAATAGTATTTTGTTATTTATTATATTTATTTTTTGTATATTTTGCTCAACACTGAATATAGAGTATATATGTAAGCTATTACATAAATAAATCAGTTTGTAATTGAGCGAAGTGATGATTAAGTGCTATCAATTATCCTGAAGTTTGTAGCTGGGCAAAAAAAAAATTTGACCAAAAAAATGGAAATTTTTTTTTATATATCATAGTAAAAAATTTTATCACGTGATTTTAAGTTTTTGGCTAATGTACGTAAAAAAATTCCACATATGAAAAAATTTTACATATATAAAAAAAAATGCTGACCGACCAGGTCATTTTTAAAATTTTATGTCATGAGAATCTAAAAATTTTTTTTGCCCAACTCAAAATATTTTATTCAAGTATTGTCATAGCTAATAAAATATTTTATATGTGTAAAAGTAAAAAGGAAAAAATTGCACTTAATACAAATGACTATCATATTCAGCTTTTTGTTCAAGAGCCTCATTCTTTTTTTTTATGCAATTTATTGGACATGATTATTGATCAATTGTAAAAACATACTCTTCCTTCATAAGTTTTCAGTAACAATTTATTTAATTTTATTTGCCTTGACGATGGAATCCAAATCTTTATTCAGATGAAGCCAAAGTTCAATATCACGTGAGTATGTTACTAAATGACACATGACATTATAAATTACTATATGATTATGATTTATTTTAATCACGTAAATTGTTTTTTTAAATATAATATTTTGTTATAATAAAAAAACTACCAATTAATTGATTCGAACCATAACGTAAATTGTTAATAAATTCAATGTAAACGTTAAAACGTTATTATGAAAAATTTCAGAAAAAATCTATGCAACCTAAAAATCAAAGACTTAGTTAACTTGGTTAAAATAAGCCATATTAATAATATTGACCATATTAAATATTATAAAATATTTATATTATAAATCTTGAATTAAATACTACTCTTATTACGATTATCGGTATCAAATTTATTCTTTGTAAGATTCAGTATTGTACTTTTTTAGTTACCCAATAATAGATGGATGGATTATTAGAAATTCCAAATAAAAACACGTATTTCAGATGATGATATATTTGCTCAACCATGCTTTTTCTCTATAAAAGTAGTATTATTATTAATAGTGATTAATTTTGTATATTTTTTTTAAAAAAATTTGTAGATATCGAGAACTAATAATGTAGGAGGTTGGATTATTTACAAAAATTGAAAAAAAAATATTCATTTATTTAAACTTTGAAAAAGACAAAATTATTCAAGAATTTAGATAATAATTAATTATTTTATTTAAGTTCATGAATTTGTAATTTTAAAAGGTAATAAAGAAAAATGTAAAGATAGTCATATATTAATCAACTCCTCATTAGCATTAGAATAAGAATTGTTGCTTACACTGTTTAGTTTTTGATAACACCTTTCCAACCCAATGATAAATTATGAAGAAGCATAAACCGCTCAAGGTCATTCTCTTCATTAGCAAAGAAGCTTTCGATGATATAACATGACTTGTATTAGTCAGTTTGATTGCATAATCAGCTAGTAGTAAGTATTCAATATTAAAATTTTCAATAAATAATAATCTTTGATTATAATTTATAAGTATTATATCAATGTCTTTAAGAAGAAGCAGCACCTTTTAGGAAATAAATAACCATATAATATAATATTGTTATTTAATTGGTTACACTACATAGGTATTAAAACAGTTACATTTATTATATAGGAGATCTTCCATACCCATGATGGCGATTATTATATGTCTTTTCTTTAAAGGATGTATGAAATAAATGCTTCTAGTAAATTTTACATACATGAAATGATTTGCAGTTCTCAAATTATAAAAAGATTTATAAAGAAGCTACTGTAAATTAGAAATATTCTATTATATAAATGTAAGCACAAACAAAGAGGAATGATTTTTCGATGGTGAAATAAAATCTTATGAAACCGCACTGTTAGAAAATGTTATAACAAAAAAAATCATAACAGAACTAATATAGCGAGTAGCGACACTAATTTTAAAAGCATTTCTGTGTAAAAAAATGAAAACAGATCAGATCGGCATTATCAAATCTTTCATTTTAACATGACCGTACTACTTAACCATTTTTTATAACTTTAACATTTTTATCTCGCAAAAATGTAACTCTTGTAATAATTATGGATATTGCTTTAATGGCAATGTCTTTTCTGCTGCAACAGTATGTGTTCCTCATAAATGAGGTTTGTAAAAATATTTTTCTTTTGATGTCAATAGCAAAATCTGTGAAGCTCCTGGAAGGTAACGTCCTTTACCGGTAACGCCCTCTTACAGAATTTTGTAAAATTGCTTATATTGCACTGCTGAGAGGAAGGTAATACCCTTAACCTTTTGGAGTTAGGTGACGCCCTCAGTACTATATCATCATGATGTTGGACCAACTGAAACCTTATGTTTACTAAATAGTAATATTTATTTAATAAGCATTAAGATTTTATATTTATTAAGCAATAAATACTTAATATATTAAATAAGTACTAAATTTTAATATTTATTAACCATTTAATTTATTAAGCATTTTATTAGTATTTTAAGTAAATACTCAAATGCATTTTACCAACATACCTTATATTTTACAAGTACTAATAATAAATATTAATAAATTACTTTAACCAACTGACATCATGATGATATAGCAAACTCTCAACATGCATTATGTAGGAATTGTCTTGTACATTTAAATTGAACTAATATAAGATTTGCTTTTTTTATAAAAGAGCAATAAACAAGAAATATCATATTGGAATCGTATACAGGTAAAACGCTGACCAATCGGGTATCTACCCGATTGGTAACTTTTTTTTTAATCGGTCACCTGATTTATTCAATAGTTAGAAATTGGTGTACACTTCAATCGGGTATCAATCAGGTTAATACCCGATTGATAACTATCATTCAGTTTAAATTTACCGATTGATTTTTATTGTTTCAATTAGACTATTGATAAACTATTTTTCTTTAACTAAAATTAAACTATTTTATACTATTGAAATTTACACTAACATTTTTTTCGAACATTTACTTTTAAAACTTAAAAAAAAGTTTAATCCATATTCGTGTAACAACCGGACAAATTTGTTAGATAAAAATGGGGTAAAATTTGCCGATCTTCATAATAAAATTAAAAAATTGATTTTTTCGATGTAAATGCAACGTCACTTTATATAATTTTAATCGATACAAAACTTATGTCATTTTGTACATCAATACCTAAATCGTACGTCTAACGATTCTTTTAATAACTTTCAAAAAAAAAAAATTTTTTTTACTTGTATGCCAGTTGGATTCCAACACCAAAAATTTTACGTTTTCAAAAATTTTTCTACATACACGACTTATTTATTACAAATTTTGACTTATTTATATCTTAGATGCTTGAGCTACTATTGCTGACTCTTGGCGGTGTTGACTTGTATAACGAGATATCCAATTACGTATAGTCTCTAATTTTGGTACTTCTTCTTCTTCAATTACGCCGTCTTCCACATTTTTCTTTAGCCGGGCAAGCATACTTTCCGCCGTATGCCTTTCACTTTTATTAACATTACCCTCCAAAAAATATTCTTGCAGGAGATTCCACACTTTCTTAGAAATACGTTTACCACTCCCTTTTTTTCCATATTTTTGCGCAGATTTCAATGCCCACCCACAAGCTAATGGCCAAAACAAAAATTGCAAGCTATAATATCAAATACAGATGTAAGTTCATTATACCAGGTAACTATTTAGCTTTCAAATCATGTCATACCTTGGATCCAATATTACTTTATTTCTGTCTTTAGCTGAATTTTTTCTTTCGTCTGAATAGGGATCATGGCTTGATAAATTTGTGTTATCTAAAACTGATAAAAAGTAACATATTACAAAAAGCAGTTAACAACGTGAAGATCACATTTTGCGTGCCTGGTATCTTTGCCAAGGTGTCTTTGGCCAATGCTATTTCTAACTCCTTTACCAAATCTCTTTTATTCGTATCTATATCCTTTAGAATGCCACGATTTTTCAGTTGTTCTTTCACGTTGTTTTTTTTTAGTTTCTTTACCTGAATTCCTATATTTGCATGTTGAATCAGTTGTTTCATCTGAAGATTATCATAAATAATTCTAACTGAATCAATTAATATCCATAAAACCTGTATCATTTGGCAATGGAACTGTCCAAGGATTTTTAGGTATTGAAGACGTTGATACATTGGGATCTGGTTTTTTGATTGTTTTTGATTGTAATTTTTCCAGTTTCTTTGGAGAAAAATTCGTCCAGGCGCCAAGATTTGCAATATCTCTCGCTTGAATATAACCAGCATACTCTCCAGTAATTGGCCATGACCATTCAAACCAATTTGAAATGCCAGGTAATTGGTTTCTCCTTTTTCCAGGTTCTGTAAAGAGACAGTTTGAGAATTTCTAATAATTTCTAATAAACCTAGCTGTATAATAATTCAACTTCTAATTTACAACCTTTTGTTCTAACTGGTTCCAGGTGAGATACTGACTTTCTGCAAATTCCAGATATTGCATTTTCAATGTCTTTTCCTTATGATATATCAAATCCTAATTTTACATATCGATTGATGGAATGTGCAATCTATTTCAAATATAAAGTAAGCTAATATCATGTAGTTAATTCTTGCTAATAGATATTATTTATCAAATGGAAAGGTATGAACAAACCTGAGCATGATGACTGTCAATGGTTGTTTTCGCCTCCCCCGGTTCAAGAAATATCCATTTTTTTGGCCAAATACTGTACCAATCTTGCCAATATCTCAGAGTCATCATCAAATCTGCATTATGATAATGACCTCCATTGTCTGAAATAATCGTAACCTATTCTGGTTTCTTGTTCATAGATTCAATAACAGCGTGAAGACTAGAAGCGGTGAACCAAGCATCTTGACGTGGATCTTTGGACCAGTGGTCTTGTGCTTGGATGTCAAGTTCAAAAGAATCTTCCTTGCGAGTATATACCAATACTGAATGAAGAGTCCAGCCCTTTTTTCCAAAAAACTGTTCTTTTGTCTCTCGTGCACTTTTAGGTAATACCTTCATTTTATAATCCATGACAATAAGTGCTCCTTTTTCATCTAACTCTAACAAATTTGCATTGAATTGTGTGTTCAGGTATACTTTTCGTGTTTGATGAGCAAGATAGTATAGGAGGTGTTCCTGATATTCTTCTAATTCATTATGCAATGTAATTGGAGTATCATTTTTCAATTGATAAAAAATTGCAAATAATTGTCCACATTTAACACATTCGTGACTGTGTGATTCTGTGTAGGTACCAAAGGCGTATGGGAGACAGTGGCTAATGCATGCATTATGGGCAACAGTTCCATTCACAGCAATTTCAAGCTCTTGTTCGTAAGACTTTTTAATATATCGGCGCAGGTGCTCAAGTTTATTTATATAGTCTTTTTAGATTACCATTTATAAAATAAATCAAAACAAATAAACCAACTTGTAATATATAAATAAAATAAATTGAAAAAATTTTTACTTGAAGATTGTTGTTTTGAATATTTTTTTCAATAAAATTTTTCATTTCTACAAAAATCTCATATCCATAATGACTGCAAATTGAACAAAGACCATCAAGATTCTCTTGATAAATATATTGTTTTCCTTGCAAAAACATCATAAAAGATGTTCTTTTAACACCATCTGGAAATTGGTAGCTGAATTTTTCCCACAAAGATTCTTTTGTATATTTGAGATATTTTACTGGAAGCCTAGTTTTAGTTTCTGTTTTATAGCTACTCATTATCACATTATTTTTATCGTCCAAAAATTGTTGCAACTGATCAAGTTTTTCACGCGAAATTGTAGTTCATGTAAAAATAGGTTTTTCGACACATTTAGCACCTGGTCCATGGATTCTTGCATATTTGCGTGCCTCATTAATCGTATCTGATGAAGAGATCTAATAGAAAAAAAATAATCTTAGTCAAACTGAAATACTAAATTTTTATATGAAAATATCACTAACATTCAAATTCTTTTTAATTTCACAATATGGAAATTGTTCTGCAACAATAGACAAAATGCGTCTTTTTCCATCTTGACCTCTTTTATTTGCATTCAATGATTCATGAATACAATTCCATAGAGTTCCTGTTTGATCACAAAATTTTCTTGGTGCAGGATGAAGAAAATCAAGATCATGTAAAATTTGTAACTTCTCACGATCTTTTTCTGAATTTACCGATCTTGTCCAAAATTCAAACTGTAAATATAAATAATTCAAATTAGATAAATATTTATTTGGTATTATTGCTTAGTATTAATTAATATGTCCATTTCTTACCTCACTTTGATCTTTATTATAAGGTGTAATTTCTACACAACCCATATGCCTAAGCATTGATTTCCAGGCACAAAATGCACATGAATTCATTTGATATTATCCTATAAAAAATATATATACGGTTAGTATACTGTATTTTCGTATTTTGCGAACAGTATATTTATAGTATTATTACCGTATGATTACAGTATTTTCACATACTGTATATATTCGGTATTCTGCACACC